ACTGGGCAATGGAATCATGATTGAAAATTATTTTGATGAAGTAAGAGCATTGGCATGAATCTAATTAGGGGCAGTTCAGTAGGTCTAAATGTAAAGTCTTATGCTAGGGTACAAAAAAATCAACTTCACAAAGACCAGATGGAGACATGGTTAAACAGTAGTTCTGAAAAAGAACTAGAGGTTTAGTTGACTACAGACTCAGCGTGAGTCAGCACTGTGATGTAGCAGCCAAAAAAGCTTATTCAATTTTGGATTGGATTGAGGAGGATAGAAAGGTATTAGTACCACTGTTCTTGGCCCTCGTCAGACCTCATCTGGAGGGCCTTGAGTTTATGTCATGAATCAGTTGAAGAACTTGGCTATGTTTTTCTTTGAGACAAGACAACTTTGGCTTTCCTCAGACTTCTGAAAAAGGTTGGTTTTTTTTTTTTCCTAAGACTTTTGGCCCCTTCCTACTACCTTTTTAGACTTCTTCTACTTTACTCTTCTCTCCATACTCTTCCATCTGATGACACTGGCCTCCTTGCTGTTCCTCAAACATGTCATTCCATCTCCCAACTCCAGTCATTTTCATTCACTATCCCCTGTGCCTGAAATTATTTTCCTTTTCAGCTCTGCATCTTGGCTCCTCTGGCTTCCTTCAGGCCTCAACTAAACTCTCATGTTCTGCAAGAAACTGTCCCTTGACCTCTTTAATCCTACTGCCTTCTCTCTGAGATTATCTCCAATTTATCCTGTACTTTGAGGGCAGGAACTGTTTTTTGCCCCTTTTGGGGTGAGGGGGTATACCTTGTCACTTGTGCACAGTACCTGGCACACAGTAAGTGCTTAATAATTATTAACTGACTTGTGATTCTTGGGGGGGAGGGGTGGAGGTAGGAGATATGAGAAGACATAATAACTGAATGTTTGAAGGACTGTATGTATAAGTCTAAAAGAATTAGGCTTTCCCCAGAGGGCAGAACCAGGCTCATTGGGTTGAAACTACAGAGGCAAATCTAGGTTTGATATCAGGAAAAACCTTTTAACATTAAAGTATACAAAAATCGAATGGGCTGCCTTAAAAAGGTAGTGTGTTCCCCCACCTTGGAAGACTTCAGGCAAAGGTTAGATGACCACCGGTCAAGTATGTTATATAGTAGATATTCCTTTCAGGTCTGGGATGAACTAGGTGGCTATTAAGGTCCCTTTCAACTCTTAAGTCTATCATTTCGGTTTTTTTGTTTGTTTGTTTTTTGTTTGTTGCCCATTTCTCCAGCACCCCACAGAGTGCTATGCACACAGTGGGTTTTTAATAAATGTTTACCGAGTTGAATTATCAGAGAGATTTCTGTGAATGTGGTAAATTTCCACATACAAACATTTAATTCATGCTTAAATTTACTTTGTATTAGATAAAGAAATGACTTTTGACCAACAGTCCATGTTTTAAGAAGACTTAAGGATTTGATTTTTCAGAATTGAGATTTTAAAAAATTTGATAGTTCAAGGTTTCAGTTTCCTATAAATTTCTCTCATGAATTATAATTACATAATAATATATAATATAATATAATAATATATAATAATAATACTTTTGTAAATCATTCATTATGTGTTTTAGCTGCTGCTATGTTCAAAATGCTGTGTTAGTTGATGAGGAAGATACACAAAGAGTCTAAGACAATATTTTTGTCTCCTAGGATTTTAATATCTAGTAGGAGAGACATGTATGAAAGTTAAAATAACACTGCAAGGTTGTGTGTTACTAAAATGGATGCCTTTAAGACCTATAGAAGTTTTCTGAAATGATTTTAAAGATCAAAACACAGCCGCACCTCCCCCCTCCCTTTTTTTGGGGGGGGGGTTCAGTAGTTGTGAGTGATCCTAAGGGCAGTGGAGACATGGATAGTTAGAATAATTAGGCTGCGGCATATGGCCAGTGATGACTGAATTCAAAAAGGGCCGTAAAGTATAGGTGTTAAAAAAAAAAAAAAAAAAGGTGGGCACTTCACACAGGAGTGAAGAATAATAGGTGGATGGCTGTGAATGAATAAATGAAAAAAAAGCATTAAGAGCAAGCATGTTGGATAGGTCCTCAGAAGGATCTATGGGGGAATATGGACAAGAATCATACAGAATGATCAGAAATGTAAGGATTGGCATCTGCATTCATCCATGAGAATACATTGAAGCAAGGCAGAATGGTATGATCACATTATAGAGATAACATTTAAAAATAGGCAGAGAAATTTGGATTTATTGTAATAATAGGGAGTGGTAGGTTTTTAAGTAGGAGAATAATGATGAAATTAATGTTTTAGAAATCTGCTGGAAAAAAAAAAAGAAAGAAATCTGCTGGTGATCCATAGTATGGAGTGGAGAGTTTGGAGAGGAGAAATTGGAAGCGTGGAGTCCAGTTAAGAGTCTAGCATTAATTCTGGCTTGAAGAAAGGAGAGAATGGACTAGGGTGGTAGCAATAGGAATACAGAAGAAAAAGTCAATCTGAGAAAACATTATCAAGAAATGACAATATTTGCTGTTTTATCAAGGGGATAGGAATGTCTGAAAGATTCTACCACAAAAATCTACAGCTATGAATATTTTGGTATACATGGGGCCTTTCTGCCTTTCTTTAACCTCTTTGGGTAATGTGCCCTTTAGGGGGAATTTCTTGGTATGGACATTTAAATTCCTTTGACTCATCTTTATGCTACGCTGCTCCTGTGCTCCAGCCCCCACCTCCAACCTGGGACTCTCAGTCTTCTCTCCTCATTGATGAGCATTCATCATTTGTAGCCTGGACCCAGACCTACCACTCTGCTTCCCAGCCATCTTTATGCATGAGATTTATGTATCTTTTCTCCTTCCTACTCTTAACTTTGAAAACAAATCAATTAACACTAGCAAAACATTTCTTCAGGGCTACCCACTCCACTATATGCCCTGTTTTCCCTCTATTAGACTATGCCTTCTTTGAAAGCAGAGATAGTCTTCCTTCCTTGTGTTCTTTGTACCCACCAGGGGGTACCTGGTGAAGAGGCAGAGCCACTGATGGAAAATGGAAAGTTGATTGTCAAGTTCAGAGCCCTCTGTAAAGGAAGGCTTTGGGGGAAGATGTTCCAGGGAGTCAAAACCAAACAGAGCAGTTGATGGAAAATGGAGTGTATATCCTTTGACCATTCATTCACTGGAGAATGGCTTTTGGTTTTATATTTTTGTTAGTTTCATATATCTGTATCTATATTGTTTATCAGAGAGATTTAATATAAATTTTTTTGTACCAAAAACAAAAGCTTTTAACTTGATGTGATCAAAATTATCTTTTGTGATATCTTCCATCCATTGTTTGGTTAAAAATTCTTTCTGTATATCCATAGTTGTGAAAGGTACCTGATCAGATTCTTTTCAAATTTTGTTTATGTGTAAACTTAAATATTCAGATCAATCATCCATTTTGAACTTATTATAGTATGTGGTATAAGAAGTTTATCTGAAATAGAGAAATTAATTACCTAATTTCTGCCAAAAAGCATTATTGTTCCCAGCAGTTCTTTTTTTTTGTTTTTTGTTTTTTTGTTTTAGGCAATTGGGGTTAAGTGACTTGCCCAGGGTCACACAGTTAGTAAGTGTCAAGTGTTTGGTCTGAGGCCAGATTTGAACTCAGGTCCTCCTGACTTCAGGGCCGGTGTTCTATGCACTATGCCACCTAGCTGTCCACCAGCAGTTCTTTTTAAACATGGAGTTCTTCTCTGGTTGATAATAGGAGTCCTCCCTCTCTTCCCTGTCTCAGAGAACCATTTCTGTCTTATAACCAAGAAGGAAAAAAAGAGGGTAAAATAGTTCACAAAAACTGAGTAGCGCTAAGTACAACGTGTGCACAATTTCCCTGGCAAGGCTTAGCTCAAATTCTACCTTCTATAGGAGGCCTTTCCCCATCCCCCCAGCTGCTAATGCCTTCTTCTTTCAGATTACTTTCATCTACTCTGTGTGTGTGTGTGTGTGTGTGTGTGTGTGTGTGTGTGTGTGTGTGTGTGTGTGTGTGTGTGTGTGTGTGTGTGTGTACACAGACCTAGTTATTTACATCGTATCGCCCTGCTTAGATTGTGTACCCCATGAGGGGTGGACCTTTTTTTTTTTTAACCTTTCATAGTGCCTGGCAAATAATTAGCACTTAATACATGTTGATTGATTACTTCAAAAAAAAATTATTTATTCTGAGATTTTAGACTTTCTCTTCCTTCAAGCGAATTTTATTTTGTTTAGCTCTTTAAAGAATCCTCTTGGTAATTTGGTTGGTATAGCAGAATACCTGAAAATCAATTTTGATAGTATTGTCATTTTTGTGGCATTTTATATTGACTCAGCCCAACCATAAAAAATTAATACCACTTCCAGCTATCTAAGTTCTTAACTTCTTTAAAGAGTGTTTTGTAACTGTGTTGATACAAGTTTTGAATGTGCCTCGGTAGTTGACTCCAAGATATTTTATGCATTTTGTAGTTATTTTTAATGGGAGCTCTTTTACTATTCTTTTCTCTTTGGTTTTATTATTGCTGTATAGAACTGCTGTTTTTGTGTATTTTGTATATTTCTACTTTACTGAAAAAGTTAACTGTCTCATTTAGTTTCCTTGTTGATTCTCTGTGTAAAATGACATATCAGGAAATAGAGATAATTTTGTCTCCTTTTTTGTCTATGTTTATGCCTTAAATTTCTTGCTTTAGTCTTATTGCTTTGGCTAGTATTTCTAAAATTAAGTCAAACAACAGTGAGAAAAAGGGGTGTCCTTTGTTTACTCCTGTATTTATAAGGAAAACTTCTGCTTCCCATTGCAGATAAATCTGTTTGTTTGTTTTAGATATCAACTTTTTCATTATGTTAAAAAAAGATGATTTTTCCTCTTTGTGGGATTTTCAAATATAAGTGAATGTTGTACTTTGTCAATGACTTTTTCAGCATCTATTGTTGAAGTCATATTTTTATTTAAAAAAAAAACAATTTTGTTTTTCTGTTACAGAAAGGACCTATACCAGCTTCCCCTATTCACATCAATAATGAGGATCCCGCTGGCCAAACTAATTTGGGATTTATCCATGCATTTGTGGCTGCCATATCAGTTATTATTGTTTCTGAATTAGGGGATAAGACATTCTTTATAGCTGCCATCATGGCAATGCGATATAACCGTTTGACTGTGCTAGCAGGTGCTATGTTGGCCCTGGGCCTAATGACATGTTTATCTGGTAAGTACTTATGCTTTCAAGTTTATTACACAAGTTTCCATTCTTTGGGGGGGTGGGGGAGGTAGGACAGTGTGCATATGTGTTTATTTACTGGACAATCAAAACAATGTTTAGATTGTTTACGTTTAAATCTTAAACAGATTGAAGTTGGAGGTTTATAATAGAAATTATACTCAGAAATTTACTGTCAGAATTTATAAATTAGGGAACTTATTCGTTATGTACTACTTGAAAACTAATTTTGCATAATTTCTAGCTTTCCTAATTCAGCCATTTGAGTCACTATCCTATTAACTTACTGCACTGTTTTTGCTGTAATCCTGCTTTTCCTTATTTCAATCTGGATAAATCTGATTAATTTCTAAAATTTTCCAAAGTTTCCACAAAAGAGAATTGCATATTTCCTGTTGAATAACATTGGGGACAAAATGGATTACTGGCTGAGAAGTCAGTGACTTTAAATTCATTGTATTCTGTTAAGCTATTGGGAAAAATTCTTATTTATTTTGCTTAAGAAATAGAGTGTTCTGTTTAGCTGCATTTTTATATAAAATACACAATAATAGAACTTTAATTTTTGATTTAAAATGTATTTCAGAATCTTGTGCCTCTCGGTCATCTGTTATTGTACTGGGGAAGTTTTAAAGGAAATACCCATCAAATTTCTGGTTAATAATCTCCCTGTTGAACTGGCCTTTTATTCAGTGTTTTTTTCCCTCTCAAAAAGAGGCAGTGATGGAGGGATAAAAAACTGGTTTCAGAGTTAGGAAGGCCCGGGTTCCAGCTCCACTTCTGACATTGACTTTGTGGCTTTGTGACCCTGGACACGGTACCTGTGAGTGGTGTAGAAGCAGTGGCCGCTGAGCCTCACAGAGGATCCCTGTGGGCCACATATTGACATAGTTATTTAAAAATGTTATATTATCTCTTTTTTTGTATTTTTATTTACCAGTTACATTTTAATCTGGCTCCCTTTGCACTCAGGACGACCAAGGCCCCACGTTTGATCCCTCTGCTCACACAGCTCTCTGAGGCTATGGCTTGCAGAGAAAGTGCTTACTTGCCTTGTTTGAAGGAGTTTGCTCATCCAGGAGTGCCCTGTACCAGTAAAATCACATATCCATTCCCTGTCATTCAGACTTGTAATTGATTATGCCAGAAATAAAAGGGATCAGCATCTTTCAAAATTGTAACATTTTGAGTCTTGGAATCAGAAACACTTGTGCTTGAGGTCTGCCTCTGTTTCATGCTTCAGGCAGCTCTCTGAGCTCCTTACAAGCAAGTGTGGATCTACATTGGTACAGTAAATGTCCCTACTGAGAATTCACTACACAGATGAAATTACAGGCATACATTTTAAAAATATGACAAGAACTTATTTTGAGTGTTCATAATTTTATAATTGGTTTTCAAATAAGGTAACTTGATTATTTACATAATTAAAAAAAGAAATGTAGATAATCCCAACTGGTAAGTAATCCCAAAGCCATTTAGTTGGAAAAAATTTTTGAACTTATATTTAAGGAGAATCAGAATTTTAGATGTGCTGGGGGGGCTACAAAGGTAAATGTTATCAAGCTCTTTTGTTTTACATGTGGAATCTGAGGGTCAAAAAGATGAAGCAGATTGACCCAAGTTTCCAGTTAGTGACTGAGCTGGGCTAGAACCTGCTTCTTACTCCCTGGTCAGGGCTGTGGTCATCCATCCCATCATGCAGAATGTGGGCAAGGCAGCCTTGAGAACTCACCGGGGCAGGGGAGAAACACTTAAATAGAATAGCTCTGACTTTGTTGGTTACTTTGCTCTGAACTCCTTTGAACATAACTGCTGTTTGTCACATTTCTCAGAGTAAGGACAGGAGTTAAATCTGTGGGTTTCTCTTCTGCTCCGTCCCATTAAAACATAAGCTCCTGGAGAAAGGAACCAGTTTACTTTTTTTTTTCCCTCTTAATATCTTACTTAGCACAATGCCTGCCACTGAGACCCATAATAAGTGCTTGCTTAGTTGATATTGATAGGATGTAAGCTATGTATAAAATAAGATTAAAGCAGAAATAGGGGTAGCGAGGTGGGGTAGTGACGTGGCGCAGTGGGCAGAGTGCCAGGCCTGAAGTTGGGAAGACTTACCTTCCTGAGTTCAAATCCAGCATCAGCCACTTATTAGCTGTGTGACCCTGGGCAAGTCACTTAACCCTGTTTGCCTCAGTTTCCTCAAATGTAAAATGAGTCAGAGAAGGAAATGGCAAACCTCTCCAACATTTTTGCCAGCAACACCCAATGGTGTCACCAAGAGCCAGACAAGACTGAAATGACTGGAACAACAAACAGAAATGGCAACAAAAAGTAACTAAAGAAATAGGTACGAGCTCAAATGGAAAGAACTTTTCTGAATGATAATTGATCAAGGACTGTAGGTACTCTCAATATAGATAAATTTTGCTTTTCATTACCTTTTACAAATGAAAGCTTCCTCTGTGATTTTCAAATTTGTTTCGTGTTTGTGTGACTTTTTTTTGTCTTTCAAATTTTACAATGGAAATCAGTATAAAAAATTATACATACAAGTGTGTAAATTTACTTTTCAGGCAACTTTTGAGAAGTATGTAATCTACCCTAAAAATGAAGTATAGTTGTTACATCCCATGGATTTTGCATATGTTTACTTCCTATTAGCAAATTTAGATTACTAGTTTGTGTTGCATGATTAAGATGCATCTCCTTGCTGTTTCCTTACATTTCTTTGCATGGAAAACTTTTTGTAGAACCTAAAACTGTACTCCTGCCCACCTTCTTGCCAAGTTCTTATTTTCATCTTTTACCAGTGACTCAAAATGGTGTTAATAAATGGACTTATCACATTATATGATAACACACACTATAAGTATCAGTACTTTTGTAAACTATATTTGTGGGCTATAGCCACAAATATTGGTTTGTAATAGAATTTCTGAAGTAAACTGGGTTAAAAAAATTTTTTAAATAAATTATGGCAAGTAACCAATACTTCACAGTTTTTAAGATTTAAAGCTAAAAATATTAAATGAAGTAAATCTGTTAGGTCAGTTGGTAAAAAGTAGATCTAATTTTTATGATGATTTTTTCATAGAAATATTTTATAAGCAGGAAGAGAAGATAGTATTTTTTTCAGTGCTTTAAAGTGCAACACAATTTTATTTTCTTTCAGTTTTGTTTGGCTATGCCACCACGGTTATTCCCAGAGTATACACATATTATGTGTCAACTGCATTATTTGCAATTTTTGGTATCAGAATGCTTAGGGAAGGCTTGAAGATGAGTCCAGATGAGGGTCAGGAGGAATTGGAAGAAGTTCAAGCAGAAATAAAGAAAAAAGATGAAGAAGTAAGTCCCAGTATTTAATATTTTGGTCAGTAAGATGCTGAACTGAGAACGCAATACTGAGTCTTAGCTGTGGCTAGGTCAGTGTGTAACAGATGTAAACACTGTGCACACATGCCCATACACACAAAAAGCTTTTTTTTTCCCGGTTACTGTTTCAAGGGCTGGTTATAACAAGGGTTCTTGCTGGGTCAGAATGTTTGTTAGAAGAAGAAATGCCATCCTGTGGGTTTCCAGCTCAAAATGTATGTGAGCCCAAAGGATCATCTGTGTGAGGTGAGAAGCGTTTTATTGATATTCAAACAAAATTATAAAGTTAGAAATCCTGAGCCTTCAGGCTTCTAGAAAGGAGGCTATTTTTATCCTTGTTTTTATTGGTAGCACCAAACACAACGTCTCTCATGTAGTGGGTACCCAGCAAATTTGTAAAAAACAAGGTGATTAGAATTCTAGTTATAAACACAGCCCAAATGGGTGACTTTAGCTTGTGTAACTTAATTCACTTGATCATTTTCACTAAAATAATGATACTTCTTGCTCTGAATTAAATTTTTAAAAATATTATGTTGATTGTTTAACTCATTTGACATTTGTTAAGATGGAATATTATTTTTAATGTCTTGTGGAACGCAAATACTCAGCTTTGGGAAAAAAACTGCAGGTAGTTGTGAATATTTTAATACTAAGGAAGGATTATGGCATTTCAGACAGTAAATATATAAGTATTTCTTTACATAAAGGCTTCTTAAATATTTTGCTTCACTTTGGGGATTTGAGTGCTTCTATATCATGACTTTTTTTTTTTTTTAAGCTTCAAAGAACCAAACTCTTAAATGGGCCAGGAGATATTGAGACTGGTACAAGCACAACCATACCTCAGAAAAAGTGGCTCCATTTTATTTCTCCTATTTTTGTTCAAGCTCTTACTTTAACATTCTTGGCAGAATGGGGTGATCGCTCTCAACTAACTACAATTGTTTTGGCAGCAAGAGAGGTGAGTGATATTTGATTGCTTTTATATATTGCTTATGTTTGACTTATATGCCGGACACCTTGTTCTAGGTGTAATAATCTACTATACTCCTTCTTAATTCCTACAGCCACATCATTCATTCGGGTATTGTTTGGAATGCCTGGACTTCTATTGTCTTTACTGATTATATTGCTTCAACTTCCAGTTTTTCTAAAATGTCATTATGATATTATCTTTTTTGGAGAATTCTCTGATTAAATCCCTCTTTTTCTCAAAATTGTCCTTGGTTTATGTAGCCATTTTCTTTTGTGAAAGAGGAGCCTTTTTAGTTTATCCATTACCCAGTTAGATAATGTATGGAAAGCACTTCAGAAAAGCAGGCTTACTTTATTTTCCTGGTCATTTCCCTTCATCTTAGCCATCAAACATGCTCTCAGATCCATGTTTTATTTCATGTTGTTCTATGTGCCTGGGACCATCTGACCCTTCATTTATATGGAAAGGCTTCCTAAATTAAGCTGAAAAAGATGTTTTTACACTTATAAATTTAGGCTTGGTATTTGTCCTTTCCCATGCTTTCTGGTCATGTCTTAATTTATAATAACAAACAAAAGAAAATAGTTTAAAATAATAAAGCAAATCAAGATGTTTGTGTAGAAGTTGCTTATTTATAATGTCATTACAATATATAAGCACTACTGGAGCAGTGGTGTCAAAATCATATAGAAGCGTAGCCACTAAATGGAACATATGTGCCCAAATGCACATATTGACTTAGAAAACCACAAGTTAATATTATGTGTGTTTTACTTTATTTTTAATTATTTTTTTAAATTTTTGCCAATTACATTTTAATGTGGTTCCTGTACTCAGTGTTGGAATGTTGCTTGCTGACTGTGGGCTGTGTATGACACCTCTGATGTAGAATGTGTATATATACTCTACAACATTCAGCTGATTTTGCTACTTTGAGATTTTGGTACTTTCATATCAGAGTGGAGAATCTTTGCTGTTAAGGACCACAGACTTGAAAGTTCCACATAAGAAAAAGCAACTTAATTTAGGAATATTGCTGGTTGGTTTTTTAATGTGTTTTCTTTTTAAGGTCAAGAACTGGGAATGTAAAACTCTTCAGTTGCTTAAAACAAGTATGATAAATCATTTTAGTTTCATATTATAGTTACTAAAGGGGAGGGGCAAGGGAGGAAGCGGAGATGCAGCAAAAGACAGTTGTTGGAATAACAGAGTTAAGCCTTGGGCTAGAGGTTCCCCACTGTGAGGTAGGTAATATTGTATAGGCTAAATTAAGTTATTTCAAAAGGCTACAGTTAAGTAATATAACTGGCTAAAGCCTTATTAAATGATAACCAGTTTGAATGCCCATTGTTGTTCAGTTGTTTCAGTCATGTCCCACTCTTTGTGACCCCATTTGGAGTTTTCTTGGCAAAGATACTAGAGTGATTTGTAATTTCCTTCCCTAGCTCATTTTATAGATGAGAAAACTGAGGCAAACAGGGTTGTATGACTTGCCCAGGTTCACACAGCTAGTGTCTAAGACCAGATTTGAACTTGGGGAAATCCGCCAGCTCGCTGTCAGAATGCCCCATTAATGGTAATTTTATTCCTTCCAGGTTTAAGGAGGATTATTTGATACCTTTATTTATACCTTTACATAGTCAACAGAGAAGTTGATAGCTTTTCTTAACAGCTCAGAGAATTTTTTTCCACTTTATTTAATGTCCAATGGCCCTGAGCCCTTATCTTTTCTTTCTTTTTAAATTCTCTCTTCACTCCCACCACCCACCCAGCCCCCAAACAATAACATTAAATGTGCAAAATCTAGCGAAATAAATCCCCACATTGGCCATGTCCATATTCAGAATTAGAAAGACTTTCCAAGTTGTTTTTCTCTGTAATGCTGTTATTGTATAAATTGTTCTCTTAGTTTGGCCCTTTATTCAGTATCAGATCATAAAATCTTTGCAGTTTCCTCGGAAACTATCCATTTTGTGATTCCTTGTGGAGCAATCATATTTTATGTTCATATACCACAGTTGTTTAGGTGTTCCCCAACAGGAGGACATTCCCATAGTTTTCAGTTTGGGGCTACCATGAGACGTGCTACTCTTATTATTTTTGTATACCTGTGTCCTTTTCCTCTTTTTAAAAATCTCTTTGGGGCATAGGCCTAGTAGGGGCATAGTTGGGTTAAAGGACACATACAGTTTAGTTACTTTAGATATACAGTTCTGGATTGCTTTCCAGAATGGCTGGACCAAGTCACAGCTCCACCAACAATGCATTAGTGTTACGAGCCTTTTTGTATTTGCTTGTAAAGTCACTGATAACAGGTCATCTGCTAGTCCCTTTTACCAAGAAATTGGGAAGATGCTTAACATGCCTGGGTAAGGCAGCCTAGTAGAACTGAATGAGTTCTGGATTTGGGTTCAGATCATGCCTCTGTCTAGGTACCAGGTAGCTAGGCGATACAGTGGATAGTGCACCAGGTCTAGAGTCAGAGGACTCAAGTTCAAATCCAGCCTCAGACACTTACCATGTGAACCTGGGCAAGTCACTTAACCCTGTTTGTCTCAGTTTCTTCATCTATAAAATGAGCTGGAGAAGGAAGTAACAAACCACTCTGGTATTTTTGCCAAGAAAACCCCAAGTGGGGTCACGAAGAGTCAGATACAACTGAACAACATGCCTCTGCCACTTTGTGACCCGCTAACCTCTCTGGACCCCAGATTCCTAAACAGTCAATTGTAAATCTGTGACTCAATGTTATCTCTAAAATGTAGGTGATATGACTGACACGGAAATGTTTTCCATGATTGCACATGGGTAACCTTTGTCAAATTGCTAACCATCTCGGGGAGGAGAGGGGAGAATGAGAATTTAGAACTCAAAAAATTTAAAAAACAAATGTTAAAAATTGTTTGTACATGTAATTGAGGAAATTAAATATTTATGGAAAAAAATGTAATATATTAATTAGAAAATTTGCAGGTGACATGAGATAAAGCTAGGACATAATGCTTATATTCCATATCCCATTAAGACTTTGTTTCCATGTTAACAGTATGAAATGTATTTTCTTGAAGTCCAGAATCAAATGAGGGTAGTTTGAATATCCTTTCTTGACTTTGAAAGGTACTAAATGTTGTGGCTATAATTTAGTACTTGAGGCATTTTGCCTATAGAAATTAGATTCACATTATTACTTTTATAGTTCCAAATTTCTTCACGTTATTTTCTTGGCGGTTATAATCATGGTTAGATAGCTGACCCTCACCTCTGCTATATACTGACTGTGTGACCCTGGATAAATTTCTTAACCTCTCAGATCTAGGCCGAAGTGTCAAACTCAAATAAAAATGAGGCCACTAAACCTTACATAAGGATCCCTGCAGGCCTCATACTGGCCTAGAAAACCACATATTAATATTATCTATGTTTCATTATGTTTCTTCATACTTCAAAAAAATTTCCAAATTATTTTAATCTGTTTGGCACTGCATTGAGGAGTGGGCATTGTGTTCAACTTTTCTGCTCTAGGCAACGAAGGCTGTGAATTTCAGAGAAGGTGCCCTTCCCCTTCCTATACTAGTGAAACCACAAGTTCAGGCCCTATCATTATCCTTATTATCCATTGACTGGAGTAAAAATTTAAGCTCATTTCCCCCGAGTTGTAAGCATTTCCTGTCACTGTTAAGTATTGCTCAGCATAGAGAAGGAAGTACTTAAAAGTGACCATATTTTTAAACTTTTGAGCCTTATTTCTAAATAAATATTATACTATGTAATGCTATCACCAGATGCGTTTAATGTTTTCTCCTAACCATATTCATTTGAAGTTTGATTTGGGCATAGGCTGTAGTAGAATATTGTTATTTTTCAAACCTGTGCCTTATCTTACTAAATGAATAATTCATTTGCTTCTATCACTTGGGCAAGGAATACTAATGAGAAAAAAAAGTCTTTAGATTGGACTTTTATTTGTAAGTCTATACTGAAACAGTAAAAATCTTTAGGTTGGAAATTAAAAGTACTGCAGAAACATTAAGAAGGCTTAAAGTTTCCAAAGTTTACTGGAACTACAATTCTTGCATTAAAGGTGTGATTCTTCATTATAAAAAAGGATAGCTGAAAAATAATTTCATTAGAGAACCCAAATAACTTTTCATTAAAATACTTTTCTTTTCAGTGTTTGCTGAAAGACTTAGTACAGGTATTTATATCAGCAAAGATCTGGAGTTGGTAGAATTTAGAACTGTCCCAGAGGTTCATGGAGTCAAAAGTTTAATTATAGTTAGGATTTATAGCTGCCTAAAGTCACCCAGGTAGTCAGTAGCAAAGAGCTTGATGTGAAGCCTGATTTAAATCCAGGTTTCATTTTTTTTTAAAAGGAAAATCATTAAAATTTAAAGACCAGATGTGTCTGACCTAAAGAAGAGAATAATGGGGTGGGAGAGGACACATGAAAGCTAGCTGTCTTCAAGAATGTGAATAGCTGTCATATGGGGAGAGATTAGACTTGTTCTGCAAAAAATAGTAGCCATGGGTAAAAGCTGCATTTTAGGCTTGATGAAAAGACAAACGTTCATAATTGGAATTATCCAAAAGTGAAATGGACTGCTTTTGAGATAATCACTTCAGCACTACTGAAGGTCTTCAAGCAGAGGCTGGATGACCTACTTTTCTACGGATGTTGCAGAAAGGATTTTTAGTAAGCCTTTGAGATCCCTGCAGTGAGATAATCTCAAAGGTCCTCAGAATCACTTCCATTTTGGCACTCTTCCCTTTCTAAAATATGACCACTTAAGTTCCTTGAAAAACCTGAGACTATATAGCATTTCTGAATTACCTACTGCATTACATTTCACCTTATTTGAAATTTTCCTGAGGTAAGTCATAGATCTGGCTAGCACTGAAGAGATCATCTAGTCTTATATCCCTCATTGAATAGATAGAAACTGAGGTCCAGAAAATGACCTACTCGTGGTCATATAAATTAGTGAGAGATCGAGCAAACTGAGCCCATATCATCTCTTAATTTCTCTCATCTTCACTCTGTCCCTATCTACTGATTTCTTCTTTGATGACTACAAATACACCCAAGTTTCTCTCATCCTGAAAAAATTCTCACTAGATAAGTTGCCAAATTTTGCTTCTATCTCTTCAACATCTCTTACCTGGGCAGGCTGTGGCAATAGTTCTTCCTCCACATGACCATCAGAGTGCTTACCTAAAGCACAGGTCTGTCACTCCCCACCCTCTGCCCCAAGTCCCCTCTCAATAAATTCTCTTACATGGAAGATTAAATAGAAACTCCTCTATTTGGGCTTTAAAGCTCTTCGCAATCTAACTTCATCTTACCGTTTCAGCCTTCTTACACATTACTCCCCTCCATCATGTGTATGTTCTCACACATGATACTCCATCTCCTGCCTCCATGCCTTTTCATTGGCTCTCATGCCTGCAATGCTTCCCCTTCTCACTTCCACCGCTTGGAATCCTGAGTGATTTGCCTTTAAGACTCAGCTCAAGCCCCGCCTTAAGGCCTTTCTTGGCTTTCCCCTCAAAGATTACCTTTTATCTATTTTGTGTTTCACATATACTCGATAGCATTGTCTGCCCCTAGAGGCTCATGTGTCTTGGCTTTTGGGGGGATTAGAATTTCTGGCTCCTGGACATGTTTACATAACCATTACCCACTTCATTCTAGCAGCCTTAATACTTTTCATAAATGTATTAATAATATGTAGGTTATTCATTTGCCTTTGGGCAGCGAGGTGGCAAGCTGGATAGAATTTTGGGCGTGGAATCAGGAGGACCTGATTTCAAATTCAACCTCAGACAATGTATGACCCTGGGCAAGTCAGTTAACTGTTTGCCTCAGTTTCCTCTTCTGTAAAATGAGCTGGAGAAGGAAATGGCAAACCACTTCACTGTCTTTGCTAGGAAAATCTCAAATGGAGTCACAAAGCGTCAGACAACACTAATTGACTACCACAAAAAAAAAAAAAAATAATCTGTCCTTATCTTCGTTCCTAAAAATCCTTTTGCCTTTTTGGTTTTGGCTTAATTTTTTAAGGCTTACTAACAATCTTTCCTCATAAGCTGTTATTTTAGCCTTATTTTTATATTAATGGTAACTGTGTGTTTCTTTTCAGGACCCTTATGGTGTGGCAGTAGGTGGAACAGTGGGACATTGCTTATGCACTGGACTGGCAGTAATTGGAGGAAGAATGATAGCACAAAAAATATCTGTTAGGACTGGTGAGTCCCTAATTGGTTTATAGAGCTATTTTAAATCACAAAACTGAGGCTACGCATTGTTTGCCTTTATTTTCAGATGGGGGACGGGACTATAATAGGGAGCAAAGCTATTGATTAGCATAGCAGGTACCTGCTTCTGAGAACAGTTCTTAGAGGAACAAAAAATTTTCCAAATAGTCACCCTTTAAGTGGACTTGGTCCTTATGGTTAGAAAATGTTGAGCTCATCCAGTTAATATTCAGCATTAGCTTTTATAGCAATTTAACCTTCTCATTTGTAGTTTAATTTTCTCATTTTTAAATTCATGAATATCTCATCAACTGATTTTGTTTTCTAAGCTTGTCATGCTAAATACCCAAAAAACTGCTTACTGTTACTAAATAGTATCCTGCGGTTGGCCTGCCCTACTCTCTCCACATAATTCACTGGACTATACATTGCCTTCTTTAAAATAGGCTGGGTTACCATAATGGTTAGTTAAATAAAAACTCACATCTGTGTCATACTGGAAGGTTTGCAAGGCCGTTTCAAGAGTAGCCCCATGAGAGTTCAGTGGAAAGAGCACTGGGAGTGGGTAGAGATGGGACCTTGGCTAAGCTTTAATTTCCTCACTTATAAAATGGTGATGTTCCCATTTGTTCTGCCTCCGCCTCTCAAGGCCATTGCATGGATCAAACAAAAGAAGCACTTTGAAAACTCCCAAACTTAAAATGTCAGGGATTTTTAGTGGTAGTCAAATATTACATTAGTTTTTCAAAGCATTGTTACAACTGAGCACTTTCAACCTTGTGATTTTAAGTAGAATCTCTCTAATAGTTCCAGTTTATTTTTTAATCTTTTATTGTTACATGCAGTTTTGTGGGGATGAAACCATAGGTGAACACAGCTACCTGAGTCATCATTTAGTATATGGTCTTTCTACAGTAAAACAAAGGCAAGAACTCTAACCATTTTCCCATTTTCTCTTCCAGTTACGATCATAGGAGGAATCGTCTTCTTGGCATTTGCCTTCTCTGCATTATTTATAAGTCCAGACTATGGTTTTTAATAAGAGTCCTCTCCATTTGTATTTAGAGTATAAGATGGGGTGTTGCCTATCTTTTTGTACATAGTGTATGTTAATAGCGACTATGAAAAATGCTGTATTTTATTTTATAGCATTGATTTGTGAGTTTAGCCCACTATAAGATGGCAGTTTTACATGAAAAAGGATAACCAATGATTCTATCTGCAATGTAGAATTTTTTTTAGATGGGTTCATTGTTAAATATGAATGGTGGTATTTTTTTTCCCTCCCAGTCCTGCCTTCCTTCCATCCTGTACCTAGAACCAGTGTTCTGGCATTTGGTACTAACTCACTGATAGTAACTCTTTCTTTTGGATACCATCTGGTAAACTGAATAGCTTCATTTTTGAGTGTGTTCACAATTAAGATTGTCCAAGTATTAATAATAGGATATAACTGAATGTGTATGACTCAGGAAAATATTGAAAAAATATTTCCGAAATACTGGCATTTCTACCCCAAGCTAGCAGTCTTTTTAGAAATTAGGCTTTTTGGATAAAACATTATAAACAGCTGATTTCACTGCTATTTAACAGTAAGCAATTCATAGGACTTTTGTTTTCCTGGCCCACTTTTTAAAAAATTGGGTTGGAAACTCACAATATACAGTAATGGTCAATATTTGACAATGCTGAATTACCAAATTAAAAAGTAAAATACTGTATGTATATTTTCTCTATAGCGAATATTAAATGTAATATGGAAATGATGTAAATAAAAATAGTTGTAAGAACATCTGGTGGGTTTTCTGTGCAAATTATCTTGTAGAGGTTTACAAAAGAGTATCTAATGAGTAATATAAACATTAATAGGCAGGATTAACTATTGGTTGTTTAAGGGATGCTTATTAGGCAGGGTGCCTGTAATTACTAGCTCTGAGCTGAGACATCTCCTAGGGAAGGGAAGAAGACTGATTATATAGTGACCACAGTTAGCCTTCCTCCTGCTCACAACATTGACTTACAAGAAATGTGGGGGTTTTTTTTGTTTTTTTTTTTAGGCAATTGGGGTTAAGTGACTTGCCCAGGTTCACACAGTGTCAAGCGTTTGGTCTGAGGCTGGATTTGAAATCAGGTCCTCCTGACTTCAGGGCTGGTGCTCTATCCACTGCGCCACCTAGCTGCCCCTAAGAAATGTTAACATTAATAGAAAGCTGTGGTATTATAACTTCCCCTAATTCTCCTACCACAATAACACTACAATCTATCTTATAAAGATAAGCACATATGCAATTCAACTAGTTAGTTAGATGAATATAAATAAAGGGAGAGGTCACTGTCAATAATTCTGAAAATATTTAATTTTCTAGTTCTGTGCCAGATAAACACAGTAATTTATATCAAATATAGGTGATATTAAAAAACATCAGCATTGAGGTATTGTTTTTATTTTCAAAACTGAATAAGAGAAACAAAAAGGTTGTTAATCAAGAGAAAAACATACTACTGTTTGGCTCTTTTGCTAAAGTTCTGCGTACAGTATTCTAAGTGAAAATGCATTGTTAGTAGTACAGTTTTGTTTGTTTTTAAAGCTTTACACATATTCCTAAGGATAACTTGGCAAAACAATAGTGTAGACTATAGGGCTTTTTTGGCCATATAACAAAAGACAGTAAGCTACTTACTCACCTTTTCAAACAGTTACTATAGGAGTGTTGCCAGAAAACAAGCATAACCAGCTGTAATACTAAAAACACAAAAGGCAACACTAAATTGACAAAATTTCATGGAACAAAATTAAAATGGTGTGTGTCCCATGTACTATATCCCCATAATTTAGTAGCTGAGGCAATAGGGTACTCTTCAAAGTAGGCATTTGACTGCAGTAGAATGATGCTACAGGCTCTGCAACTACACAGAGATCCTAACACAGCACCACTGAAACCACTCTTTAGCCATCATACTTCACTGCAGTGTAGGATTTTGGCAGAATACATTAAGTAGCAATGCAGAAAAAAATGACCATTATTTAACTAAATGTTTTAGATGGAAGATTCATGTAGCAGTCCTCTTTGAGAATAAAATTTTGTGTATTTAATCTGGTGATTAACCCCTGTAAAATTGAAGCATATTTTCTATCTAATTCAGATCAAGAATCAAGTAAGAGGAACAGGAATAACAGGACAGAGACACACGAAGAACTACACAGAACTCCAGAAAATTCTTATTCTTGTTACAACTATCAGCAGATGTTAACAATTAGAAATTCACAGGGATAAACCATGTTTGTCTTAAATTTGTATCCAGAACAGCATCAACTTAATTTATCTTTGGGTTTTAATTTTTATATAAAGTGAACATGGAATTAATTTCTTTGCCACTGTGGCCCTTTTCAAATGAATACCACAGTATTTGAAAAATAGTTCTAGCAGTGGTCTAAATTATACCTATTTTAATTGGCATCTGTGGGAAAAAAATAGATGTTTTCTGACAATTTTGTTTAAAAAATGATTGTCTAGTTACTTAACACAGTGACACTATAGGGTGGGGTCAAGGATTTCAAGATAAAACATTTACAGAGCTTCCCCCAATACTCTTTGGTGCCAGGTATTTTGGTGCAAACAGTGCCAGCAATAAACCTGCACCAATAGTTTTAACTCAAGCACAGACAGAGAACATTCAAACAATGTCACCCTTCAAATGATGTCACAGTTTGTTTGCCTAGAAAATTTAAAAGTATGTTTATCACATATTCAACTTTAACCCATCAAGGCAAAGACAGTTTTTTACATTACCAAATGTTATTGTGCCTTATTTTGACATCCAGAACTCGGAAGACTCCTCTGTTATGTCTAAACAATAAATCCTACAACCACCTGAAACCTGAAATCCTCCCTACGGCCGCCTTAAATTGTCCAAATAACACTTCATCAGACCATGCTATGAATGTAGACAGAAACTAACGGAAGATTGGGTGGAGGATATCAAGAGGTTTGACCAACATTAACATATACCAGCATTTAATGATTTTATTATGAAAAAGAGATGGCACCACTTCTACTGTGCCTCATGGGTTTAAGTAGTGGTAACATAACTATTAAAAGATACCGGTCATTTTCTCAACTATTGGACAAAATGTGCCATAGGTTCTGTGCACCCTTAGGCTGTACTAGGGAAGGAATTACAAATAAAGTGCCTTTTATACTTTCATAAAAAACTAAAACCTTAAACAAGTAAACCCTACAGAACAGAAAAGGCAACAAGTGAAATAAAGACTTTTGAAGGAGTTACCTTTATTCTGATTTTTTAAAACCAGTTAAGAGCAGTAGGGCAATGAGATAGTTTTGCTATATTTTAGGTGAAGGGTTATAGTTTGTTCACGGCTGACCTACACAATGACCTATACAAGGACAGCCACAGATGCCCGTGAAAGCGATAAATAGCAGGGGCCCAAAATGAAAGGGTTTCTTTATGCCAATCAAAAAGCAAACAAAAAATGATGCAGAAATCACCTTAACATTCAGTTTCTAGCACTCAGATTTATTTTAAAATAAATACTTTTAGTCTTTTAGTAAGTCACGTAAGTACTTTCAAAGCAATTATTCCTTTAAAACCATTTTCCAAATTATTTATAAATACTATTTTGATTGTCTCAGTGCAGCACCTCTCAGTGTTTGCTGGTGGGTAAGGGTTTGTTTTGTAATATCTTCTTTACAAGTAATTTATTATTTCATTAAGGAGAATCAGGCTGAGGAAACCCAGGCAATTAACAAAGCATAAAGCACTGAAACATCACAGAACCTTTAAATTACTATTTTATTTAAGAAAAATAAGGAATGTAGTGTTAAGTTAGGACATGAAGAAACTTCCAAAATTCTTGTGCACAAGCTGTTTTAAATTTTTTTAATACCGTTTGATTCATTTCTTCTGAATTAGTCAACATTCAGTTTCTAACATCCTGCATTAATAACCATCTCAATACATTTCAGTTATCTCCAGTTTTTCCAAAGGAGACAACCTAAGATTGAATGACAGATTTTTCTCAATCTTGTCCAAAGTAGCCATTTCCCCAGGTTTTCTAATACAGAACTCTTTTAAGAACAATTTAAATGAGACACTAAAATGGCCTGCCAACACTGTAGGACACAACATTTAAAACATTCAGAACAATTCGGTTTGCTTCTTAAAACTGACATTCAAAGATTTGCTACTACTAATTTATTGAACATTAGGTCTACACCCCTACTCAGAAGAAAATTTTTCTAGACCTCTGAAAACTAAACAGGCTCATTGGTCTCATTTATTTATTTATTTATTTATTTATTTTTGGTGGCCACACAAAAGGCAAGACAGGTTTAAGAAAACCTCTAAATGTAACTATTCACCTACAAACAATTCCTTCAACATTTGAAAAACAAAAACAGAGCCAAGTGGTTTTTGACACTTTCAAATCACTCCCATAAACCTAAGGTTCACTGGGTCTAAATGCTTAGACCTGAAACGCATCACTTTATTATTCAAATGGTGATACGGGGGCCCTTTGGGAATAACATCTGTAATGATAAACTGTTTGTCAAAATGAGTAATTACAATAAAGTGCTCATGAGATATCCAGATGATGTTTTTAGACGGTACTAAACTTGAGTTTTTAAAGGGTTTGTCATTATTCCCCATGTAAAAGGATCCCCAGGCATGAGAAATTGGTTCTCACCTGTCCCAGAAAGCAGCAGTACTATCTTTTGGTAAGCTGACAGTAGGCACATTACCTAGACAGATGGAAAACACTAAGCGCTGTGGCAAAAGTAAACTAGATTAAAATGGAAGGCATGTGAAGGGCTCCTACTATACTTTTACAGTTATATACAAATATATATATTAAATATACTATAAAAATATTTATATTTCTTTTCTTTTGCAATGACTTTAGGAGCTCAGTTCATAAAGTTCTTACCCAATTCAAACAAACCAAAAAATGCACATCTTCATCTAATCTTCCTTAAAATGGATAAGTGCCTTTGTGCAATTTATTTTCCACAATTCTTATTCTAGTGCTCTAGCTTCCTTGTCAGACTCACTTCAGCAATGTTAATATCCAGTGTTTGTACCTTCCAACATTATTACTCCCATGGGACTGATAAGCAGGGTCACAGACATTGGAGAGGCTATATACTTGAATGAGTTTGACACAAGCAAAATGTGCTTACCCATACATTCAAAGTCACTAATGAAAGTGTAGGACAAAAAAAAAAAAGTAGATAGAAAATGGGTTTCAGGTAGAATATTATATGCTTTCTATTCTTTAAAAAAAAAAAAGTTTACCTAGATATGGCAGAAGTGTTCTAAATGTCTTGAAAAATTTTCCAGTTACATGGAATCTTCCTCCATAAGTAATTAGCAGGGGAAACAATTCCATTTTAAGTGCTCTTCCCTAAAGCTTTTTGTTTAAGACCTCTCTGAATCACAGAGCCCTTATATATAGCTAATTCAATAGCCCATAGGACAACAGATTTCTTTTAAGGCAATGCCTACAATATCATACAAAAGATCCAAATATCATTTTTAATACATTCTGCTCCAAGTTTCTTTATCTAAAACCAGTAGATTGCCTTGGTTTCCTATTATTACCAGTATATTCTTGTAAATATCAGGTTTACAAAGACAAAGGATAATCTTCATCAGATAAGGTGGTACAGAGAATCAATCCTGAATCATCATGCTGATGACTACATAATCTCATTTTTCCTTTCAGATTTTTGGCTCAAAAACAGGAGAATGAGCCCCTGGGTTCCAATGCGTCACCACTTTCCGCAATGTTGATTACTCTGAAATTCTCTCCTGGCGTGCTAACACACAAAAAAGCTAGAGCTCCTAACATTTTCTTTTCATACTCTTTTGTTCTTTAAAACTGCTGCTTAGTGTCAAAAGCTTCTTTCAGATATGTTTGAGAGGGAGAATTTGGTGGATTTTCTAAATTCTAAAAGGTAGCACTTTAATTTGTGATCTTTCCTTTTAAGGGACAGATTGAGTTTAAGAACTAGGTAGCTGCTACCATAGCTTCACCTGACCCTTCACCCTCCATGAAGTTCAAAGTACTTTATAAACTCATACCTACCAGGGGTGGGAAACCTGCAGTTTGGAGGCCACATGTGGCCTCCAGGCTGCAAGTTCCCCACCAGCCCTCGACCAAGGGAGATAGGTGAGAGAGAGAGTGAGAGATATAAATAAGGGGATGGAGAATAAGTGGCAGCTGGATGGAGACTAGCTTTCCTACACCACCCTGGTCAATGGAAAGTAGCCAGGTATTTCATTTCAGTGGCTGCCATTTCAAAGCAAGAGAGTTTGGAGGAGGGAAGTGAGAATTACACATTGAAACAATTTCTCTTGATTTTTCTATTCAAAATATATATTGGGTGGGAACTATTTAAGGCAGGGTAACAGAGAGAACATGAGTAAATACAGTACTTCGATTTACTGATTTACTAACTCCTTGGCTAAGAGTAGAGCCTCCTGCTTCACTTTGGTTGTATCAACCTGAGTCTGCAGGGCTCAGAGGTCACCCTGTTTTTCCTTTAATGACAGGTGCTTGCTTAAAGTTACCAGGCATACCTTAAATAGGTCTACATATTTATCTCATCTTTATCAGCACACACCTCTAACAGATAAAGTCTGATTTCAGATACATGTATGTGAAATGGTGTAACGATTTTAACAAGGCAATCTTAAGCGAGGGAAAAATAGTATCTCATTTTGAACATTCTAAACCACCAGTTTTGCTTATATATAGATATATTCAGATATAGACACCAGGGTGTTTTCTTTCATTTATGGGAATGACAAATCTCTTCTGAAAGATTACACAGCTTGAAAAGGGATTCTTGATATGTTAAATACTGGTATCTTGTCCTGCTCCTTTTTACAGAGGCAGGTCCTACCTTTCTTTGGTTCTTTATTTTGCATTTCTATTTTCTGTTTCCACTGTGGTTTTTAAGTACTAGTTGCTGGTTGGATGCAAGTCAATGAAAAGCTAAAAGTATAATCCTTAAGAACAATAACAATGTTTTAGCTACTGTGGATCTTAAAAAAAAGCCTTAGGGTTCAATTTGAATCTTAGTTATCTAGCATTCCATGTTCAGTTATTTTCATGAAAAAATAAAACTATTTACTAATAACTGCTGTGTTAAACGTTCTTGGTGGGTGGGGGGCAATTTCAAATAATCCTAATAAGATTTCCTCTGCATTATTTTTTTTTCCTCTGTAGATGTGGACTTAATTACAAGTACCATAAAAAATCTCTTCTGTAGAGCATTTTTTAAAGTATATCTTTTCTGTTGGAATTTTTTATCATCTTTGTAACATGAAGTTGCCTTAAATCTTAGTTCATGTTAGAAACCATGCTGAATACATTATTTTAATTTTTGAGTATCCAACTAATCCAAATCTTGCCTCCTAATTTTTTCTATTAAACTATATGAATATCAAGTCAATTTACAACTCAATTCTTAAATAAGTATTTTGGCTTGAAAACAGCCAAGCCTACATTTAAGAAAGCTCTGAATTTCTGGATAATATTAATGACTGCAAAAACAAAGAGGTGTCACTTTTTTTCAAATTACGCATGATCTCCAGTTGAAATAAAGTAGTCTTCCCTGGGAGAAAAATAACAATATTAGTCAACACTCTAATTTTGTTAAAACTATACTAAGACTTCAAAAACTGTAATATTGCTACAGAATCAAGACAACATAGTTCAAACAATGGTCAGCATTATCACCTGAATCAAAATCAAGGCACTGTGGGGCTTTTTTTTTTTTTTTCAAACAACCCTGAATCATTTCTGTCTAAAAGAAACATTGAAGTTGTAAAAGACAATAAAAAGATTTCCAACACATTTTAACAAGTTACAGTTCCCACCACAGAGAAAGTTAAAAAGTGCCTAAAATGTAAATACATTTTGTGCAAATTACTCCTATAGCTGAAATATTCTTGAAATTATTTTTTAAAACTTTTACATAAATATTTCCAACTATGAACTATATCAAAAGATGTGATCACTCCAGGGAGTAAAATTCCCAACCATCTACATACATAAAACAGTGCAAATCCTATTTTCAAACATAATTGAATAATTATGAAACAAGGGATATTTCTGAACATCCTGAAAACCCTGTTGCACGACCATCAGTTCCAACAATTGCATCAATAATTTAACCTGAAAAAAAATCCACTCCCAGCAGCACATCATACCTCAATGAACAAACTGTGACATCACAGATAAAATACAAATAGACTTGTGCCCCAGAAAAGAGTGAAAAGAACGATGTATCATGTTGTAAACAAAAGGGAAAAAAAGGGATGTATTAGTCTGAATGTGGTGCAAGAATTTAAGGAAATGTATTCAAACCTACAAAGAAGAGAGTATACTTCCATGCAGCATATAAAATATTTTGCGCGCTCTCTTTTTATCCAGACATATACACAATATTTTACAGCATCTGTACAACAAAGAATTTGATTCCACACAACATTCTGAAAATATTTACTGTCCCATAATCACCTGACAAAGGACAAAGTCTTCTGGACTGTCTTCATGGCATTTTTTCTTTTTAGCATAACAATATTCAAACCACTAGTGTGGCAACAGCATGTCCACTGTAACATTTGATAAAATGCACAGAATTACTAGAAATGAACATTGTTAGTGCCCTTCTGGTTCACTTTAGATCGGGCTCCATTGGGCAAATTAACATTTGGCATGATGCTCTTTTCTTATTAAAAAAAAAATGTCTGGGCAACTAAAACACTGTCAGAATTGGCCACATCCCTATGATCATCTTCCTGCTGGCTAGTACTTAATGTGTACTTCCATAGAACACTCCCGACAGATTTCCAATACTGCATCTTATATAGTCTACATTTTTCCTACCATCATTGGGTCATCAGTGCAACTCTTTACAAAATAGCCACTCTCTCCCCTTCAATGTCAGAAAAGGGGCAAATGAGCTACTGTGGTTGAACTTTGGAAGGATCAGTCAAACCATCAGTTCTATGCCGGGTAAGTTGCTGTTGCTGAGACTGATGCTGCTGGTGATGGGCCTGAGTCAAAGTGCCCTGTTGTAGTGGAAAAGCAGCAGAGAGGATAAGCTGAGTTGAAGGATTTCCATGAAGCAGCCTGGAAGTCTAAAAACAAATGATATAAAATTATTTAGCCCCTGCTCCTTTATCCAGGGAACAGAGATTTGCTCAAGTGCATCTATTTTTTTTTTCCTTAAAGACCAGGTTCTCCCTATCTTACCCAAGCAGGTGGGACAGCAGCTACCCCTAGACTGTTCCCAGCACTGGTCAACCTGGGAACTCTAAGCTGCTCCTTTTTTGACCTAGGCCGCTCTGCCTCTCCTGAGGCAGCCTAGTGACCTCCTGCACCCACAGTGGTGTGGGATTTAGTGTGGATACCTGACTGCTGTTAGCTCAACTTCAGTTCTGAATTCCCATGGCTGCAGGGATTACAAGAAGCATGGCCACAGCTGATTTGCAGGATGAAAGAGGTTTTTGGTTCTTTTTTTAGCAAGATAGCAGTGAGGAAGAGACAGCATTAGCATATTTTTCCAATTACCCCAGCCTGGCTTAAGTTCACTTTCCGTAAGGACCATAAAATCTAAAGTTGGAAAAGACCTTAGAGAAATCTAGGTCAATCCCATCACCTTATGGATCATCAAATAGGCTCAGAAAGGAGAAAGGAGTAGCCTCAGGTTACACCAGTGCTAAGTGGGAAAACTGTTCTATGAACCCATTTTCTGTCTCCAAAGTCAGTCCTTTTCCTATTATATTAGACTTGCTTAGATTATTAATATCGATACCATTTTTGCTAATTTTTTAACCATACACCTGCTAAGAAAAAAATAAGGCCTGTTCCTTCCTCAAGTACAACATGAGATTCAGTTCTTCAACAATCTGAAAGTTAAAATGATGGAGAAATTTCCTGGTATCAGGCTGGTATCAGGCTGAAAACATAAAAATCCCTTTTCCTTGAGTCTATCCATAAACTACTCTATTTTATAAGAAATAAGCACACTATGAACATACCTTAAAATAAAATTTAGGTATTATCGTAATGGTTGTAATTATTATTTTTGAGCATGGATATTCCCCAACTTAGATCACTTCTGTGTTGTGGCACAGGGACTTGAGTAGCTCAATGAAATTATGATTTATGCTGTGTAAGGTTACCCAAGATGGAAAAGTCACAGTGGAGAATACTGACAAAAAGTGATCCACTGGAGAAGGAAATGGCAAACCACTCCAGTATCTTTGCCAAGAAAACCCCATGGACAGCATTAAAATGATAAAAGATTTGATACCAGAAGATGAGCCCCTCAAGTCAGAAGACATCCAATACATTGCTGGAAAAGAGAAGAGGACAAATAGCTCCAGAAAAAATGAAGCATCTAGCCAAAGCTGAAAGGAAGCTTAGCTGTGGATGTGTTTAGTGATGAAAGGAAAGTCCGGTGCTGTAAAAATCAGTATTACACAGGAACCTGAAATGTAAGATCTATGAACCAAGGTAAGCTGGATGTGGCCAAACAGAAAATGGGAAGATTAAATAATCACTATCTTAGGTGTCAGTAAACTTAAATAGATGGAAATGTGTGAATTTGATTTGGGCAATCATTACGTATACTACTATGAACAAGAAAATCTTAGGAGAAATGGAGGAGGCTTCGTCGTCAATAAAAGGATGAGAAAAGTAATATTGCGCTATAATCTCAAAGATGAAAGAAAATCTTTTCATATTCAAGGCAAACTGTTCAATGTCACAGCAATACAAGTCTATGTTCTAACCACTGATGCCCAAGAGGCCAAAGTTGCTCAGTTCTTTGAAGACCTACAACATCTTCTAGAAATAACACCAAAAAATGATGTCACATTCATCATAGGGGATTAGAATGCTAAAGTAGAAAATCAAAAAATAAGTAGAATAACAGGCAAGCTTGGCTTTGGAGTACAAAATGAAGCCGGGCAGAGGCTAATCGTTTTGTCAAGATAACTTGCAGGTCATAGCAAACACTCTTTTTCAACAACCCAAAAGGCAACTCTACACATGGATATCACCAGATGGTCAATAGAGAAATCAGACTGATTATATACTTTACAACCCAAGATGGAGAAGCTCTATACAGTCAGTTAAAAAAAGACCTGGAGCTGACAGTGGCTGTGATCATGAGCTTCTTATTGCAAAATTCAGACTTAAATTGAAGAAAGTAGGGAAAACCATCAGATCATACAGGTATGACTTAAATAACATCCCTTATGAATATGAAGTGATGAACAGATTTAAGGAATTGGATCTGGTACATAGAGTGCCTGAAGAACTACAGACAGAGGTTCAAAATATCATACAGGAGGCAGCAACAAAAAACATTCCAAAGACAAAGAAGAGCAAAAAAACAACGTGATTGTCTGATGAGGCTTTACAAATAGCTGAGGAAAGAAGGAATGCAACAGGGAAAGGAGAAAGAGAAAGATATACTCAACTGAATACAGAATCCACAGAACAGCAAGGAGAGATAAGGTTTTCTTAAATTAGCAACGCAAAGAAATAAAAGAAAACAATAGGATGGGAAAGACAAAAGATCTCTCCGAGAAAATTAAAGTTATCAAGGGAATGTTTCATGTAAAAATGGGCATGATAAAAGTCAAAAATAGTAGGAACTTAACAGAAGTAGAAGAGATTAAGAAGAGGTGGCAAGAATATGCAGAAGAACTATACAAGAAAGATCACTGATAACCACAATGGTGTGGTTACTGATTTAGAGACTGATATCCTGGAGAATAAAGACAAGGGAGCCTTAGGAAACACTGCTAATCATGAGACAAGAGAAGGTGACAGCTAAGCTATTTAAAATCCTTCTGTTAAAGTGCTCACTCTATGCCAGCAGATTTAGAAAACTCAACAGTGGCCACTAGATTAGAAAAGATCAGTTTACATCCCAATCCTAAGGAAGAGCAATGCCAAAAATGTTCAAATTACTAAACATTTGTGCTCATTTCACATGGCAGCAAGGTTATGCTTAAGATTCTACAAACTAAACTTCAGCAATATGTGAACCAAGAATTACCAAAAAAGTAGGCTGGTTTTTCAACAAAGCAGAGGAACAAGACACCAAATTGCCAACATTTGCTGGATTATGGAAAAAGCAAGGGAGTTCCAGAAAAACATCTACTTCTGCTTTACTGACTACATTAAAGCTGTTGACTGTATGGATCAGAACAAAATGTAGCAAGTCCTCAAAGAGATGGGAGTTACCAGATCATCTTACTCCTGAGGAACCTGTATGCAGGTCAAGAAGCAATAGTTAAAACTGAACATGGAATAACTGATTGGTTTAAGACTGGGAAAGGAGTGTGACAAGGCTGGGGCCAGGAAGAGTTGGACATAACAGAATCAACAACGACAACAAATGGATGTTCCACCTTATATAGACACATCTGCTTGACTTAGTCAAAAGTAACCATGCTAATGCTGCCGGTGCTGTGATTTTTATTTCTGAATATGCCAGTTGGCTTTGTTCATTCCAGGACCATAGACTCTGGCCAGTTATCTTACCAATCAGGGAGTCCTTGCTCAAAAGGAAAATTAGAGTTAGAATGTGTATCCATACAAAACCATCACTATTACTAGAAAAACCCAAAGGATTCTCTGAGTGGGCCAGTAGCATTATCTGTACATATGAAGAAGAATAAAAAATTATGAACACAACAAAAGTATGTTTATGTGGTTAAAGGTCATCCAATAGTATGAAAGACCTCAGACACCATTTGTGTGGGTATACACACACACACACACACACCACACACACAAAAAACCTCAATTATCTACCTATCTTTGTATATCTCTATTTATCTTTGACTAAAGATATACAGGCTGTCCCAAAATTCTTAGTACTGTTTTAAGCTATGTACTAAGATTTGGATCACCCTGTATTTAAATATTTTGCAATCAGCAAGAGTCATTAATAGGGGGAAAACGGTCACTATGACAAACAGTAATAGTCTTTCTGTGCCTTAAGGCAAACTAGAATTGAGACTATTTTGGAAATATAACAAAGTTATGTACTAAACCCCTTTGGAAGTCCAGTTTAATTTTGTTTGCCAATAATAATCTATCATCTAAAATTAAATGAGTATTGGGGAAAATTCTACATGAAAGGAATGACCTGTAAGAACTGCTGTGATGGCTGAGTCAGCTGAGCCTGAGATGACTGCTGAATGGTAGTTAGCTGCTGTTCCTGCTGGCTCTGTTGTTGTTGTTGCTGCTGCTGCTGCTGCTGCTGCTGTTGTGTTATTGATAATGTCTGTGGCTGCTGCTGTTGGGCAGCAAAAGTGGGATAGGCAGTTACCACCTGACCCATAAACATAGTACTAGGTACCATAACTGCTCCACAGGCTACCGGAGCAGTGACTAATTTGGTCACCAGTTGTTGACCTTGAGAAAATCTGCAAAAGGAAAGAAAAAAATCCTAGGGTCAAACATATAAGGCACACACTATAAATATAGTTTACTGAATAGAGATATTTATTTAGTTTATACTTAGTGATACTTTAGCAAAATAAAAAACTGTGATTCCTTGTGGATGTGCTTAGTTTCTATTTTGGACACATAAATCCAAATTTTAAAACTTCAGCCTAAAATTAATATACAACAGACATGTCAAGGACCTATGCTTTCCTTGGTACAGCCTAGACAATAACTCATCTCTAACACAATAGAAAAGTCTTAGTGAATTGGATGAGATTCATGGATGTTATATGTGACTTGTCTAGGGTCACACATCAGAGGCAGGGATCTGAACTCAGGTTTTTCTGACTCCAATACAGCACTCTGTCCTCTATGCCACACTGTCTTTCACAACAAAAATATATACAAATAAATAGAAAATACAAATAAGCTTTCCTTTTGGCACCCTGAGACAGATTTTTATAGCATCTGGTTCACTGTCAACCATGAGCAAGCTGGAATTTATCAGAGTAAAGGAAATAAAAGATAATCTCCATGTTTATAAAGGTATTCAGACAATGTTAGGGTTTTAGAAACATAATAGTTTAATAACAACAACAATTATAACTGATATTTATCTAGTGCTTTAAGGTTTTTAGAGAACTTTAAGAGGCAGGTACTGTGGATATTATTTTATGATTAGGAAACAGAGGCCTAGACAATGTTGAGTGACTTGTCCATGGTCACAGATGGTGTCATAAGCAGCACTTATACCTAAGTCTATCTCCACTCCAAGTCCTGCACTCCTGCCACTGTACAATGCTGCCAAACAATTTATCAATGATAAATACAATCTTGATTTATATTTTTGTCTACTCAGCATAATTCTGATCATAATTCAATTGCATTTTTCCTTTTGGGAAAAAGATTCCCATTTACCTTCTCTGAAAGAACATTACTTTTTAACAAGACTATATGAAGAAATTATAATACTTGAAACTTACTTAAGAGTCCTGTGCATAACATACTGTACTTAAATATCACATTTTTGTTATTGTGAATACACATGTAAATATATGTGTGGGTGTGTGTGTATATATATATATATATATACACACACACCCACACATACATACATAAAAACATAACTGTTGGTTATTGAATCATTTCAGTCCAATCCAACTCTTCATGATCCCATTTGGGTTTTTTTTTTTTGTTAAAGATACTGAAGTGGTTTGCCATTTCCTTCCCTACTTCATTTTATAGATGAGTAAACTGAGGAAATAGGGTTAAGTGACTTGCCCAGGATCACAAAGCTAGTAAGTGTCTAAGGCCAGATCTGAATTCAGGAAAAGGAATCGTTCTATCTCCAGGCCTGGCACTTTATGAACCGTGCTACCTAGCTGCCCAAAATGTTCGTTACTTTTTTACAATTTGCCTATTTCATATTTTTAAAATAAATATATTTTACTTGAAACCTATAAAATCTTGAATCTGTAAAACCCTTCAGAGTAAAAAAAATTATAGAAAACACAAAGAAACCAGTCACAATAAAGAAATAGCTTAGTTAATAGCAAGACAAAAAAAAGGACAAGAAAATGTCATTTCTCAAGAAATTAATACAAGTAAAATAATGTAAGTACAGATATAAATTGTCTTGCTGGGCTACAGTTTATGATAAACATCATCTCAATCCTCAAAATTAAATTCTTCAATTTATTTTTGTTTGTTGCTCTGTAAGACAGATTATTTTCAGATATTTACTACACACTATTGAACCTGTCCAAATTTAAGTCTAACTTTTAAAACTGTATTTTTTCTTAGCTTTTAAAATGACCCTTCTTCCTGTTCTCTGGAGCCCATCATCAGTGCTGCTTGGTTGTTAGTTGCAAGAGTTTGAAAGAAACCTAATATACTTTGTAGAATATAATAGAATATTCAACTACAACATGAAAACAGAACACTGTACTAAAGTATAGGCATTACACTAAAATATCACTATGATGCCAATGTGAGCATACAGTATACTAGTATTATAGTCCCATAAGTACAGACTACTAATACAATAGAAGTGATAGTGTATTCTATAAAGTATATGGTTCTACCATAATATTAGCATTCTACTAGCATTATATTAGAATATTACTTCAAAAGTATGTGATTTCATTATGATAGGTGCTCCCTTCACTGAAGCTGACCTCAGCCCTTCCACCAAGTCAGTGGCCACAATGTTAATTACCCTGCGGGCAGCCTGAGGATATACCTCTCTGAACTTAGCTAGGTTAGTCCTTGGACGACAAAGAGCATCACTGGGCATATACTCAAAGCCTTTTGAGTTGGGGAGGATTTTCCAAAACCTGAACTCCTCTGGCACAGCCTTCAAGAGCCCAGGGTCTTTCATGCCCTGACAAGACATTATTAATAAAGACTTTAGTGGAGTGGATATATATTTTTAAAAGACTTTAAAAAAAGGACAATATGGCTTTGTAACTTAAAATGGGTAATTCCAAATTTAAGAACAGGCTGTGTTTATAAATTTATTTGTATATATTTACAATTCAAAATACATCTTCTAAAAGAAAAAATGTTATATTATAACAATGTAATGTTATAAACATCAGTTGGGTTCCAAGGACAGTCCTTAAAAACTCATTTAATCCAAAATGTAACTGAATTATAGTGATAGTTATAACTAACCACTGCTTATAACACATTTTATGTGAAAATTCCAGGGCACTCCAAGGCATCAGGGAAGGGATAAATTTTTAGTGTTAAAATTACTCATACCTGATGAAGACACAAAGTTAAAATTGGAATAACAATACACCACAATTTAGATCCAATATTTGGCAATACAATTATTATTCCTTAAACTCATTCCCAGCTTTAAACTAAATAACTCTTACTGCAGCTACATAGTTATTTAGTTTTCATCAAGTAAGTTAAACTTTGATTTAATGATGAGTTAAACTCTACGAATGGAAACATAAAATTAATTACATATAACAGTTACCTTATCTGTCTGTCCTGGGTGAAAGTGGTTACTGCAGCACTCTGGCTATTGTTTTGTGGTATGCTAGATGGAATCTGGACCACGTTTCCTGTTGTTGGTTGAGAAATTACCATAGTGTTGTACAGTGGAGCAGTCAGCGTGCTTTGAGTCTGATTGGAAAGAGAGGTTTGTTGATTGTGCCCACTGAGAATGTTTGGTTGAGTTTGCTAGGAAAGATAATATTTTATAGACTGCTTAAAAAAAAATTAAATGTATTCCAAGGATACTACCATTTATTTATTTTTGCCAGTGGGAGTTTCTTACTAAAACTTAGAGTGATGGGTAGCAATGACTATAAAAGTACTTTTGAGGAATGATACACACAACAAAGACTAATGGCAGTTAAAGAAAGTGTATTTGCCTTCTAAAGTCACCAATTACCCTTAACTAGAGAGACAAAAATGTTAATTCTGGTAGATGAAGGACACACAGAGAATAGCTACTTGTTTGAAATGGCTCAGGGCTAATATGTTGCATATCACAGACTGGGCCTGAAATATATCTATTGAATTTCAAGACATGTCCCAGCACCTAAAACATTAATATTGCTACTAAAATAGTTTTGCATAAAGTTATTTAAAAATCATTGGTCTACATTATCCATTGAACTTCTTAATTTCATAAGAATATAAAATATACTTTTTAAAAACAAGTTTTTATTTTATTTCAGAAACTTTATAAATTCAGTCATTCAATGATCATCACGGCTTGAAAGCACTTTATAGTTTACCTGAGTTGCTGGACTTTGTAAAGGTTGTTGTTGCATCATGTGCTGAGAAGAACCAATGTGTCCAGTATTTATTCCACCTTGAATCTGATTAGTCTGAACCACCTGACTTTGCATGTTTACAGGTGTAAGTTGCTGCATATTTGATGAATTTCCAGAAGAAAGTTGAACAGAACCAAAATTCAATCCAGGGGATGATTGCTGTAAAAACATCTTTAAAAATATTCTAAAATAAGTTGTGTTTTTTAAAAAAATCCAAATAACTCAAACTAATTCAATGATGAGAACAGTTTTGAATATTCAAAATGTTATGCCAAAATTCCATTTCATATAGCAACTTTTCAAATTTTATCAGGTTATTTTACAATGCCTCAGTATTTTCAAATACTAAAAAGGTAACCCCAAAGGACATCTCAAAAGCTATAAAAAATTTAAATTCATATATACACATATAAATGAACATAAATACAGATACACATAATAACATTTAAGGTTGGGAGAGAGTAGAGGGAAGAATGTTGCAATAAAATGCAACAATAGCATGTCACAACTCCAAAAAAGCTAAGTACATTTCAGGAATCTCACTTCCACTGTCTGCTGTCGCCTCTTTTTTTTTTTCCAATCAAAAAAGCTTTTATTTGAGACTCTGAAAAGATAATCTACAAGTTGGATTATAGAAGAACAAGGAATTTACTGCCTACATACTGTTAGAAACTACTGCTGTAACAAAAATGGATTCACAGTAAAACATTAAGTATATTGCTAACATGCTGTTGGAAAATGCTGTGTATAAGGATGTGCTAAAATGGGATAATTACACCTCCCAATGGATATTAAAAGGATACTCCCAAGGAAGCTTTTAAGGTAGAAGTTAGCTTTTCTGGGGTGACTATAGCCTAACTCTTAAATTGGATTTCTTTAAGTAAAACTAATTTTATAGTCTTGGGAAAAGACTATAAAACTCTTAAATTGGATTTCTTTAAGCAAAACTAACTTTATAGTCTCAGGAGAAGAAAAAAATTACTATCAGTTATGTTACTTATTAATTAATTATAAGCTTAAGGGGTATGTTCAAATGTCACTTTCTAAACCAGTTGTTTGGAACTTCAAAATGAATCCAAAATGTATCTGAAAGCGAGTAGAGGTAGATAACTATAATGCAGGAGGAAAAGTATGACCGAATGTTAAGTTCCAGAAGAGCAGAACTGTTCATTTTTTGTCTTTATATCTCCAGTGTCTAGCACATAGTAGGCTCTTTCTTAATAATTGTTTGCTGCATGATTATTGAATTCACTTTAGAAAATGGAACCTTTTTCTTCCATCTTACAGTAAGTCTATTTATGCCAAGAATGTCCCTTTTTCTAACACTCACACACACACACACACACACACACACACACACACACACACGTGCAAACACATGAAAAGATTCACAAATGCTGATAGTCAAACTGAACTGTAACTTACTTGTAGCCCCTGACCATGGACCATTTGCAGTTGTTCTTGGATTTTTCTCAGTTCTTCTTGTTGTCGGTGAATATTTGCCTCTATCATCCGGGTACGTTGCTCCAGTTGATCTTTTAGATGCTGCATGGCTCCCAACTGAGCTGAAAACTGAAACATGGGCTGAAGTGCCATAAAGAAATCAGATATGTTAGAACTATTTAATCCCTATGATTATAGAATAAGTAAATTGTCCCTACCAGTTATGTATGCTAGTGAAACCATTAAGCTGAAAGCATAACTATTCTTGTCACATAAAATACACTTTAAAAAAATTCCCTATTTGGTTGCTAAAATATCATAGTATTAATACTAACTCATATTTGTATTGAAGATCTGCAAATGTTTTACATAATTCTTTCATTTCTTCTTGGTGCAAACAAAATGTATTCACCATTTAGAGTCATTGCAGCAGAAGAATCAAAACTTAATCTGATAAACTGCTACATTGTGCTGAATTACTATTACCACTAAGACTCTGCTCTCAGGTAAGTAATGTTAATGAGGCCCAAAGGAACTGAAAAACCTTCCAATCATAATAAAAATATAATCAAAGATATATTTCTTCTGAAATAACATTATGGATGGAGGCAGTTCCCATTTCTTGCCATTTCGAATTTTGCTCTTTGTTTGATATCGCTTAGTAATGAGATCACCACTTTATTTCCTCCCACCTTTAACGGCTTCTTCATTGCCTTCTTGTTGAGGGCCAAACAGATGAAGGCAACAGTACCCACATGCATTTTAAGATTTTGTCCCAAGGAACACATTGTGCCTAAAAGTGGGGACTACCTAAGTTGCATTTTATATAAGACTAGAGATGCAAAAAACTTTAACAAAAAGGCAATATTTTTTTTAAATTATGCTTTTATAACTTAAGTGATTTCAATTAAATATGAATAAAAAAATGGCAACACCAAAAAGTCAAAGAAAAAAGAGTCAAAATGGCACATTTTATTCCTTGCTTACAAATAAAGTTTTAGACAAATCACATAACTTTTATTGTCTCTCCATACAACAGAAATGAGAAGCAGCATGGGCCAGTGGACAGAGAACTGGCTTCAAAGTCACAAAAATCTGAGTGAGACCTCTCAAGCCTCAAATAGGTCGCTTCTGACCCACAGTGGCCATGTGACCCTGGGCAAGTCACTTAATTCCTCAGTGCTCTAAGTAGAGGAGTTACAGAGAAAGAGGGTATGCTGCATTTGTAGAGGGAGTTTCCTTAGAAGGAGCTCCCTACACCAATGATTTCAAACTCAAAGAGAAACAGAACCCTGTAGGCTACATACTGATTTAGAAAACCACAAATTAACATTATCTATATTGTACGGTACTTCTATGTCTTTTTTAAACGTTTGTCAATTACATTTTAAAATGGATCATCCCACTTGGGACTTTTTAGAATCTCTTGAGCTAACCTCCCCTAACCCCACAACTCTCTCAGCAGCCCATCGCCTTATTACACATCTGGTACCAATCCCTATTCCCCTTAGTAGAAATAATAGGACATTTTGCACACAAGTAACCCTTTGTTAACATTTTTAAAAGAGTTAATGAATACATATTAAGCATTCTGAAAATGCTCTGAAAATACATGACTAAATACTTAAAGAAATCTGTTAAGAATTATGTTAAACCCTCAGAAAGAGTACTTTACGGACCTGGTGCTGACAAAAATTGTAACTAAATTCTTTTTGACTCATTGGAGTAACATATAATTGTTATAAAATCCTAATATGGTGGTATATCATCCAAAAATTTATAGTATAATTGGATATTTTAGCTCATACTAATGAATTATGTACATTTTTTGTTTATATATGCAATCTTAATGACAATAAGGAAACAATGATAAATTTTGAAGGGAAAAAAACACATTCTGACTATCAAGGAAAACTACCAAATTAGAGAATATCTGACAGAGATATAATAAAGACGGCCAGAAAACTTTTCAGGAACTTGATAATACTCAATAATGCTTTGGATCCAGTTTTGAAGGGGTTTTTTTTTGGTGGTAGTTGTTGTTGTTTTAAAAATTATAAGATCCTCTAAGAAGCTTAATGTTTAAGTCAAATAATTCATGTCCCTACTGGGAATTAGCATCACCTAGAATAAAAGAGCTAATGCTGTCTATACAAAGGGAAAGAGAACACAGTCATGGAAAGGTGTTCTAGGGCTCACTAGCAGCACAGAGCTCTACTAGTAGTAAGGATCATAAATCAAGAGGGGACCACAGACCCATACAATACAACTTCTTCATTTTACAGCTGATAAGTCCGAGGCTTCAGGAGTCCCGCTGACAGTGAGAACAGGAGGGGTGAGATCTGAACCAAGGATGCCCAACTCCAGAACCAGTGCTCTTTTCACATACCACAGAGGTTAGAAAAAAATCTACATGAATTTTTTTTTAAATGCCCAGAAGCAGGGTCTACAAGGGCAACAGGACAAAGTAGCAGGTTTTCACTGAAGAATTGATCTATAGCCATAAAGAAAAAACACTCTAAGCAAACTTGGCCTAGAATGTTCTTTGGTTTTAAGAAGTGAGTCGAAGTAAGAAAGACTTAATCATTAATTTATAGTCAGAATGCACCAATCTGTTATTTCTTTAAATTTCTGCTCTAAAGCATAGTCTTTTAAACTTAATGATTAAATATAACTTCTCAATCAGTAAGGATTCTGTTCTTTTTGTGCCAATATAATTCTGACAGAAAAAAAATTAAATGACTGGATCGTATGTATATAGCTCTAAAATTCAAATGACTTGCTTGGAAAAAGAGACTAGGACTAAAAATTATGCTATCTAAGGCAACACTGACTCTTGGAATCAGCTTTCTAATTAAAGGTCTAAGGCCCCACAATGAAATCACAGAATCAGATGAAAGCTCAGGGACAAGGTACCCAAGTAAGAAACAACTCCTACAACAACCCCAATAACCAATGGCTCTCAAGTGTAAGATGAAGTTAGAACTTTTATGCCTGCTAAATTTCAATCTGGGGGAAATTAAGGAGCTATGTGGACTTAGTAGATATATAACCAGTGACCTGGCTTCATTAGCACTATATTCTAAATATTAAAGATCACTGGTTCAACTGGTCATTAAAACAATGAAGCTTGAATGTCAGATGTCTTTCCTTCTGGACTTAACACCACTCAGTGAAAGTGCAGCAGATCAAAAGTAGATGGAGAAGTAGCAAAAGATTAGATAATCCAAAAACTACTGGATTATAAATAGGCATATATAATAATAGCTAGCATTTAGATTGTTCTTTAAAGTTTGCAAAAACACTTCACAATTATCATTTCATTTTATCGACACAACAACTCTAGAAGGCAAGTGCTATTATTATCTCCATTTTACAGATGAGGAAATTAAGGCAGACAGAAGTTAAATAACTTGCCCATAGTTATACAGCTAGTGTCTGAGGCCATGTATATTTGAACTCAGGTCTTGCCAACTCCAGACTCAGCCTTCTACCCATTGAGAAATTAAAGATGAACTATCCTAGTTCTGTTAGCAACTCCAATATATAATTCTCTCTCCCTCTCCCAAAAATGTGAATACAAATTATCATTTCTTTTACAAGTTAAGCAGACTGCCTATTGATTATTCACGGTTCATCACAGAAAAATGGATTAAACAACTGAAGTTTTGTCTTTCAAATCTTCAGAATACGTCTTGAAAATTCAAGCTATTTCAGAGATGGCAAATGTCAAATTAGAAATGAGGATCATTCATTCAGGTACATAATGAGCATTTACCATGTGTAAGGCAATGTGTAATATTTTTTAACTATATCACTAGTCTCAGTAACTTTTCAAACTAAAGCAAGTTATTCAATGTCTCTTCTACACTGGCAGAAGAAAAACAACTACATTTTTTCCGTCTCAATTATGTATATAAATAAACTAGTTACATAAATTTGAAATCTCAAAAATGTAATTATTAGCCAGTACATAATTCATTGAAAATAAACAAAACCAAAAATCATTTTCATACCTGTGACATTCCTTGTTGAATTTGTAAAGTTGTAGCTTGAGATATCATTGGCTGTGTTAAAGACTGACCAAGAGATTGAGAATTTAGGGACTAGGAAAAAAACAACAACAATAGCAACATTGGTTTGGGATTATTTTTTTACATGAACACTTCCATCTGAAATAAATATTACTTTAAAATGAAAGCTACCTAAACTTAGATTTTAAGAACTTGAAGCTTTAAACTGTTTTCTTATAATAAGATAACCTATATTTTTTACTTAAAAATAATTTTAGTATTTTTAACGGAAAATATTTTACAAAACATTTAGTCTCCAGGTAAATGAGACGTTAATAGCTCTATCTTTATCTCTTTGGAAAGAATAGCGAATGAATACCATGGATCTTCTTGATATTTATCTGTGTGAATGAATGTTTATAAAAAAATTACTCACTAAAGACTTTACCTGACTACTAAATGATGACCTCCTTTGAGTGATTTTTTCATGTCCAGGTAAATGCTGTCTGGGAGGAGTGCTATTATCTGTTGGAATCTTTGTTGGTGTTGCTGGTGTTAAAAAGCAAAAAAAAATTTTTTTTCAGCAGAATTGACTTTATACATTCATTTCACAATATCTTTCAGTGAACAAAGTTTTAATACAAATTAATTTCTGGATATTAAAGTTTAAATATAATCACAGAATGCTTTTCCCCCCTTATTTCTATTCTTTTTAAGCAACATATGAAATACTCTAAGAAGAAAAAAAAACTTCATTAGGAAAATGGGTTTTCAGACTGCAGATTAGATGAAACCTATAAAATTGTCTTTTTGTGGTCAACACATTCTAAAAAGTACATAAAGTTTCTAAGGCTACTGGAGGTAAGAAAGCTGTAAAAAGTAAATATCTAACATCTGCTCTCCCTACCTGTAAAAGGGAAGCAAACATTTTCTTTTTTAAATGTGTAATGGCAATACTTTAAATGTATTTAATTGGTGACCTAAGAGAGTATTATTTTTAAAAATTGAGCAATTTTCTTCCTATTTAATAGTAAGATTTTTCTTTACATATACTGCAGAAATATAAACACTTGTGATTTTAATTAGTGCAGCTAGGTGGCGGAATGGTTACAGTACTGGGCCTCAAGTCAGGAAGATCTGAGTTCAAATTCGGCCTCAGATACTTGCTAGTTGTGTGAACCTGGACAAATCACTTAACCCTGTTTGCCTCAGGAAATGGCAAACCACTCCAGTATCTGTGCCAAGAGAATCCCAAATGGGGTCACAAAGAATTGGACATGGCTTAACAACAACATGATTTTAATTATTAGAGACGTTTGATTAAAAAACAAATTTAAGTTTTCCCTAACTCTTCAAATCCATACAATATCTTCATATCACAGTCTTTTAAAATAAAGACAGCTTTACAAATATACTATTGTGAAAAATGAGACAAGAAGAAAAAATATGCTAATATTCTTCAAAGAGGGGACCTGCTTTCCTTTTGCATTACTTACAGGAAGGATCTGACACTGCAGTATGAGATGACTTCCTTGAACTCCTGGATGAAGCAGAAGGAGTTGGGCTGTGATCAAATCTTTCTAATGCTTCTTTGAGACTAACAGTGTTAATGCGATTATCAGATCCAGAGTCTTGGCTCTAAAGAGACATATAATAATTTTCAAAATAAGTACCCTATTGTGATTTTTTTCAAAGACAAACACAATCCATTCTGAAATACATATTTTAAAAATTGTTATTTTTTTCACTTATCAGCAAAGCAGACCTTTCTCCAAAGAATCAAAAACAGCAGCTCTCACATATAAATGGTGGACAGCCACCATTATTACCATTTTACACATCATAGAGAGGTTAATCTAAAAGTCAGTAGTTTAACAGAGAATAAATATCATGGGTATGAAGTGGAATCTCAGAACTGCTTTCATTTACATTTCTCTAATTAGCAATATTTTGGAGCAATTTTTCATACAGCTATAGATAGTCTGGGTTTCTTGCCTTGAGAACTAACAGTTCATATCCTTAGACCATTTATCAATTGGGGAATGGCTCCTATTAGAATTTTGATCAGTTCCTTACATATCTTGGAAATGAGACCTTTATCAGAGAAACTTGTTGCAAAAATATTTCATAATTTATTGTTTCTCTTACTCTTAGCTGTATTGGATTTGTTTCTACAGAAACTTTTTGATCTTCTGTAATCAGAATTACCCATTTTATTTTCTGAGGTCTTATCTGTCTCTCGTTTGGTAATGAACTTTTCTTCTATCCATCAGTCTGATAGATAATTTTCTCCACACTTCTCCAATTTAGGTCACCAATCCAACTGAAGCTTTTCATGGCATAAAATGTGAAGCAATATTGTTCTAAATTTAAGTTTTTCCATCCCGCTGTCCATTTTTCCCAGAAGTCTGTGTCAGTTTTCCTTTTCTCAGCATCCATGGTCTTTGTGTAGATATATATATGTTTCTGCATGTTACATACCTAACCTGTTCTACTAATCAGTCTCTTTTAATCAATATCAAATTGTTTCGAAAATCCTGTTTTATAATATAGATTGAGATTTGGCATTGCTAGGCCCTCTTCATTCTTACTTCTTTTGATTATTTCTCAGGGATTCTTTTTTTTTTTTTTTTTAGTGAGGCAATAGGGGTTAAGTGACTTGCCCAAGGTCACACAGCTAGTACATGTCAAGTGTTTGTCTGATCAGGGATTCTTTTTTTTCCACCACATGAATTTCATTATTTTTTAAATTTTAGCGCTACATTTAGTTTTATTTTATTTAGTTCTTTGGTTGTTTGATTGGTATAACATTGAATAAGTAAATTAATTTATGTAGTACTATCATTTTTACTACGCTGGCTCATCTTATCCATGAACAATTAATATTTCCAAACTATTTATGTCTGTCTTTATTTTTATAACCTATGATTTGCAGTTGTATTTACATAGTTTTCAGGTTATCTTAATAGGTAGACTACCAAGTACTTAATACATTCTGTAGTTATTCTATTTTTTTTTTACTTCTATAATTATTTTAAGTGCAATTTCTCTGTCTCTTCCTGCTAGATTTTTACTGGCACCATCCAGACATACTGATGATGTGTGTGGACTTATTTTATATCCTGAAAATCTGCTTAAGTCACTTACTGTTTCAGATAATTTTTAGTTGACAATTATGGGTTTCTTTAAGCACGCCATCATATCACCTCAAAAATTGAAAATTTTGCTTTTTCTTTACCTATACTTTTCCCCTCTAATTTTATTTTCTTGTCTTACTGCTAAAGCCAGCATTTCCAAGTGCTATGTCAAATAGAAGGGATAACAATGGACATCTTTGTTCATTCTTGATTTTATTGGCAAGTATTCTAGTTCATTTCTACTATATATAATCACAGCTCTTGATTTTAGATGTATGCTATTTATTATTTTAAAAAAAGGTTCATATATTCTTATGTTTCCCTAGTGTTTTAATAGAAATGAGAACTGAATTTTGTCAAAAGCTTTTTCTGCATCTACTGATATAATAATAAATTTGTTATTGATTTTGGTTATTGATATGGTTAATTAAAATTATAATTTCCTAATATTAAGCCAACTCTGCATTCCTGTTATAAATCCAAACTGGTCATAGTATATAATCTTTGAGATATGTTGGCTTAGCTTCTTTGCTAATACTTTATTTAAAGTTTTTCCATCAATATTCATTAGAGATATTAGTCTATAGTTTTCTTTTTCTCTTTTAACAAAGACGAAGAAAAAAGAAGATGGTAAATGTTGGAGGGGCTGGAAGTAAACAGGTAAATTGATGCACTATTGGTGGACCTGTGAATGGGTACAAAAATTCTGAAAAGCAATTTGGAATTATAAACAAAAAGTTACTAAACAGTGTATACCCTTTGATTCAGCTGTAACACTGAGATCTTATCTGTCTCTTGTTTAGTAATGAACTTTATTTTATTACAGGCCTATACACAAAAGAGACTTTTTAAAAAAAGAGGGAAAGATTCTACATATACAGTATTTTTTATGGTGGCAAAAAACTGGGAACTAAAGGAATCAATTGAGAAATGGCTGATTAAGTTGTAGTTATAAATGTAATGGAATACTACTGTGCTGTAAGAAATCAGGAAACAGATTATTTCAAAGACATATTTCAAAGAGGAAAAACATAAGTGAAGTTATACTGTGCAGTAAGCAAAACCAAAAGAACAATTTATACTATCACATCAAAATTTTAAAAATGAACAATTCTGAAGATTTTTATAATTGAGGAATGAAATTAATTAATGAAGGAAAACAATTTATACAGTAACAACATTGTAAAGACAACTTTGAAAGCTGTAAGAACTATGATCAATACTATATCAATCAATAATATCTTGGCTATCCAAGATTCCAGAGAACCATGATGAAACATACTATCTGCCACCTGACTGGGATATAACAGATTGAAGATGAGAATGAGACATTTATATTTTTGAATACAATTAATGAGATAATTTGCTTTGCTTCAGTATGTATATTTGTTATAAGGAATTTGTTTTTCTTTTCTCTAAAACGAGAGAATAGATATCTTGAATCTAATTTCTTTTCCAGCATTATAAGATACTTCAAATAAAGTAATAACAGGTATCAAATAAAATGAAGTTTTCTGTATGTATTATTCTACTATGAAACTACAGACTGGAGCTATACAAGTGTCCAAAGTCAATTTATGCAAGTTTGCTTTCATAAAATTGAGGAAAAAAATAGCACTGGCAACACTTTGAATTATAAACTATGAAGGTACTGCCTCAAACATTTGTGGAAATCCAAGATTACTTAGCAGATGCTGAGCAAGTCACTTAACCTCACTAGGCATCAGTTTTCTCATTTATGTGTGTGGGGAGGGGAGGAGAGTTGATCAGGATGCAGCCTATCAACTGCTTTTCTGACAATCCAGTTGATATAATCATAGGAAGTATTGAGAAGATTAACAGACGATAAAGTGTTCAGTCTTAAATGAAGTGAAAGTAAGTGTTGACACTTCATAACTCTTTTCAGAAGTATGAAAATATTCAGCAAAGCTTGATGGAATTGGCTATCTATTGGCTGGCCAAACAGTTGGCTTACATTCCTGGTAGTCCTTCTAAAAAGCTGGACATATATTCTAAATGAAGAGTCCAGGAAGGAGGCAGCCTTGAGAAGTATAATTCATGACAGTAAAGAGACAATTACAGATTCTCTTCAGAGAATAGCTTTGGAAGTCAGGAATCAAACTTTGGACCAGGGCAGATGTAGGTCCAGCCAAATGACCTGCCCAACAGAGATAGTGGGAGCAGAACAGACACCACGAGTAACGAAAGGACATCAGGAAGCTACAGTGTCAGAGATGTGAGTTACACTGGACACGAACGTCACCCACATCTGTGCTTCTCTACTAGTGTCATCTGCGGATGTGTCCTCTCTTCCCACTGATGCTGTGCATAATCATGAAAGGTCATCTCCCAAGATTTACGAAGAGAATGTTTTGTACAATTTTTTACAATTCCTTCTCAGCAAAAAGTCTACTAAAGGTAAATGTGCTAGTCGAGGCTTTTAAGCTACGGCTTTAGGAGTGCAGAATCATAGTGTCTTGAGCTTGAGTTGAGAGGTCACCCCAAAGTAGGAGACAACATAAAATGCGGGAACTAGATTAGGTTCCTTTCAGCTCCAAACCTATGGTCCTATTACTTGAAAAATGTTAGGGATTTATCTCATTCGTGATGCTACCAAATTCTTCCTTTTATCCTGTTAGTGTTTGTAAACATAATTAACAGCAATGAGGATGATAAAAATCACCCTCCCCTACACACATAAAGCACAGTTTCCTAGCATCAGCAATGGAAAGGGATAAGCAACATTCAAGGGGAATATAGAAAGCATGAAAAAATGAAGTTGGAAAGGAGAGAAGGCAGTCAAATGAAGGCAATACTTTTCAGGTATCGTAGATATTCCTTACATCTGGGGAAACAACTTCCATGTCAAGTCTTCTCTGAGAAAGCAGGGACATGGAAAGATGCACGGACATCTTCACATTAAAAGGACCTTCTTTTTAGGGAACTTTTTCCCTCAGACATAAATGTTTTCATCAAACACTCTGGACACCCTGCCTTTAAGGAAGGGAAGAGGTGAAAGGGAAGGGCACTACATGAAAGGCTCTATGCTAAGCACTTTTTACAAATATCTTATTTGATCCTCTTTGAGATAAGTGCTGTTACTATCTCCATTTTATAGTTGAGGAAAGTGAAGCAAACAGAGGTTAAGTGGCTTGACCAGGGTCACATAGTAGTAAGAGTATAAGAAAATATAATTAATAATGGTATCTTCTTACACTCCTGACTCTTATCATTTTTCATCAAATTTCAATGGGTTGCAGATAATAACAGTCCCCTAAATTCAAGTACTGAATCTCTTCCCCAGAGTTAAGATCTAATCTTTTTAATCTTCTCACTGAACTATTTTCATTGTAAACAGCAAAAATGAGGAACATAAAAGTCAAATAATTTTAATTTAAAATGCTATTTCATAAGTCATTATAATGAATGAAAATACATTAATTTGTTATAAATGTTAAGAAACATACTTTATCAGCTGCTATCTCAGGAAGAGACTCCTTAATACCAAGTTCTCGTCGTCTTTCAGCCCTAACTTCTGCGTAACTAAAAAGGGAAACAAAAATGTAAGGACAAATAATACTGTAGTTCTGATCACTTAAAACATTTACTTTTGGTCTTTGCTTGGTTGCCTATGAACTACTTCTACAATCTTTTCTTTGTAATATATAACCTCAAAACCATAGCTATAGTTTTTACTCCCCTTTAAAAAACAGTACTTCTCTTAGATAACCCAAAGTTTTTACACACTGCTGAAAACTATCACCAATTAACTAGTAGGTAAATGAAGAACAAGTTATTATTGAAAATTTCCCCAGTTTTAATTCTAAAAGTAAATCTAGTTAATTTCTGTATATATATGTTGTACTTTCTGCCATAAGATGCAAATTGTAATTATGATGACCATACTTTTAAGATATTTTTCATTACTTCTTTAAGCTTGCCAAGATTGATTTTAAAAAATTGGTGATGTAAAACCATAAACACATTTTATTTCATTTTAATTAACAATGTTACTAAATTTATTATTAACTATTATCTAAAACTCTCTAAAAGAACTATTACCTTACTACAGTGTGCGTACAGACAATAAACTCTGGCCTTGAATTCCACTGATGATAGGTAATATAGTAATGAGTCTGAAGCCAAATCCACTGCTGCCCTTTTGTCAGGAACCTATAATAACAGGACTTGCCTTTCCCATATTGCATTACTAGAGACAAAAAAAACACAACACATTTTTTTCTTGATTTACATTTTCAATTATTAGGAATAGTTTTTGCCCAAAAGCTTATAATTTCTGAAAGGATCTATGCAAAATTGACTTCCACTGACTCTGCCACCTACAGTGCTTCAGTCAAAAACAAACCACTCCCCTGAGGTAGTTTAGTGACTTAAGCAATTAATGTACCTTCCAAAGCACTTAATCTGCTATTAATTATTTTCCTCAAAATTACATATCCATAACACACACACACACAGTTGAGAGGTCTAGTCTTACCTGTTTTTCAATAAACAACTGACTTCAAAACAACCAAGCATGTACACTGTGGATTTCTGCTAAAAAACTACACTGGGAAGTTAGAGCCATATAGGTTCCCACCTGGCAGGCAGTCCCCTGGCCTAAACTAAACATTCAATAGCAAATAATATTTTCTTTACACCTGAAACTGCTTCACTCAAACAAAATTTTCTGAGTTTTAGGATAGCAGATGCTATTTAACCTGATTTAGAGAACTCTATTCAATCAATACAGGGAAATAAAAACTTAAACATCAAATTTAGCTTTTAAAATTAAAATCAGATGACATCTCAGTAATTATTTTTTAAAAATAAAACAATATTAGTACATTATTTTTAAAAATCAGAAGCGAAGAAAATATGTGTATTGGTGGATTCTCTCAGTGGATATTCCATATCTTTACAAACCTAAATTTTATGACATAGTATTTTCCTCAGTGGAACCAATCACCCTAACCAGCCATTTCAATTTCCAAAAGAATTTTCTTAACCTCATCTTAAGGGTCTAACTTACAAACTATTAGAGAGGTTCTTGTCCATTATATAATATTTGTGACATGCTATTTAACATTACAATAACAGAAAAATGAACACTATTATCTTATCTACTAACTACTTATCTACTTACTACTTATCTACTAACTTTAATGCAAATATAAATATGCAATGAAATTCTCCATTACTTTTTATTCTGATACTAAAAACTGTCACATTATAATAACTTCCTCTTACCCTTTATTATTAAGGATTTCAACAGTTGAGAAAACAGCTATGAATGCAGTGAAATATTAACATCTACTTACAATGTTCATGGCATTTTGCCAAATTTTCTAGGTCATCCACATGATAGTAATCATACCCTGATGTCCCCAGAACTTCAAATGGTAAATATCCTATTATGGGAGGTGCCCTAGATTATACATTAAAAAAAAAAAAGCAGTATTATCTCATTTTGATAAAATCACACAGCTAGTAAAATCTTTTAGTAGACAATTTTTGGAAAATGGAAATATAAATGTGTTGCCCTAAATTTTTTCATAGGCCCTACCTGTGATCTAGGAAGAGAAATTTCCATTCTAAACTATGTCTAGATGTAAATTCTTCATTGGGCTCTTCAACAGTGCACATTTCCTATAAATAAGCAAAAAAAAAAGTCATAAAATGAATCATAATTTAGAAATGTTTTTCTGAATAATTCAAAATGACTTTAAATGTGTATATTCTTATAAAACCATTAGCTGGCATCGTATGATAAACGAACAAAGTTGGTTTTTTTTTGATGAGTATAAGTGTTTCCTTCAGAAACTAATAGCTTAATCTACCAATAAAAGGACTTTCTCTTTCCTTCTATCTCTCATTCTTAAAATGGGTATCTCAACCTTTTAAATAAAATGGACGTTGTCTTGTTCTGTATCCCCTAAAATACTGTGAAAGTAGTTGATCAGTATCTGTCAGAGTCACAGCTAACCTTGCCATCAAAAAAGTTTTAAGGCAAGGTAAGCCTGGCAGACTGGTGGGGTTATAGCATATTTCCAATGCTTACTTGGGTATGAGATACAGAGTAAAAGACTATCATCAAAGGCATGTGTTGAGAATGAGATAGCAGATAGAATGGGTCCAGTGTTATCTCTTAGAGATTAAAGGAACCAGATGAAAGGGAGCACTTGGTGGAACTTCTATGAAGGACTTACATTATGATGTGGAAAAGTACATGTTTAGAGGGCAATACAATCTGCAGCATATGGAGAAGTAGCACAGAATAGGCTATGAAGCCTAAGTAGGAAAAGCTATCAAATACTGCTACCATTAAGCACTAAAGTCCTTTACTCGTTTATTGGGTTTAAGTTAGGAAAGAGAGTAAGGACAAACCCCCAAATCCCATGACCATTACTGCCCCCAGGCCATGGGAAAAGAAAATGAATGGAGGGATCTTTTGGCAACAGAACTGCCACCAAACTGCTTTTGGGGGAATGATGGCAAGGTTAGCTGTGACTCTGACAGATACTGATCAACTACTTTCACAATATTTTAGGGGATACAGAACAAGACAACGTCTATTCGATTTAAAAGGTTGAGATACCCATTTTAAGAATGAGAGGTAAAAAGAAAAAGTCCTTTTATTGGTAGATTAAGCTATTAGTTTCTGAAGGAAACACTTATACTCATCAATTGTTCAGTGAGCCCTTAACAAATCACAGGTAGAACAAACTGTTGATAATCGACATGTGGATATTTTACTGTGAATTAGGTCAGACAAACAAGAATTTTAGGGCTGGAAGGATCTTAACAGTCATCTAGTCCAACCTCATTTTACACATGAGAAAATTGAGAACTGAAAAGTTATTATTTGACTTGTCCCCATTCACACAGACACTACATTCCTAAATCTTAAATACAGAGCCTGACTTCATCCTTCTTCTAGTATATGTCTAGTTCATCTTCTTCTCACCTTTAGTTGCTTTATTTCCTATAAATGCAAGCTCAATTTATTACTAAAACAAGAAATAACTCACTAATAAAATGAGAAGGTAACTTTATAGCAAACAAGTTATTGATGGCATTTCAAAGTACAATTAATATTTTAAAAATCATCTGTTCAAGATTATCTAGACTATGGCTCCTCCTCACTGGGGCTAAGAGCTAACTATACTGTTATAAAAGTATGGCAGTATTCAAAAAAATGCAGAACTAGTAAACAAATAACAATATGCAATTAAAGTATACATACAGCTCACCACAATGAATCTAAAGCAACACCAGTGGGGCAGTAAGAGAACTAGAGATGGAATTTCATCCAGTAATGTGTCAGCCCACTGTCCTTGGACCCGAGGGCAAATCACTTAACCTCTGAGCCTGAGCCTCCTCAGTTGTGAAATGAGATAGTATTTGTACTAACTACCTCATAAGGCTGTTGTAAAAATTTGATAAGCATTAAACCACCACATAAATACAAATTATCGTAACTGGAAAAAAATTATATAACTGAATGATAATAATAAACAACTCACTGCCTGAGAAATGCTATGATTGTGCATACTCAACAATTCATGATTTCCACAGTCTTCAATGGATTTCAATCAGTTTTATTATTTTAGAAATAGGAAATATGGCAGATAGTTCAAATGATAGGCTTAAATCACATCCTACATGGGAAGCAAAATTCTAAACATACCTTAATGAACTGAGGTGTAGCTAACCTCACAGTAGCTACAAAACAAATTCTGTCTTCATATGAAGGCCTATGGGATCGTTGTATGGTTCCTTCAAAACCATTATGTGATGAACTGGATACTGAATGAATGACACAGAAAAAAAAATATCAGCAATTACTTCATCTATTTTAAATTTCTATTCTCTTTGTCAATGCCATTCAATTAAACATTTATTAGCCACCTGCTGTGAGATGAGCACAGTGGGAGGTGCTAATGGAGGTAAGAAGCATATATGTCCTGGCTCTAGTTTATTTCAGGAATAATAAATATTCAGATAATTATAAACCACAATAACTACATTAGAATGGTATAAAACATCTCTCTATTATAGAGGTATGAGGTCTAAGGAGGAAAAGGTCATTACTAGACAGGATCAGAGAAGCCTTTATGAAGGAGAGGGTATTTTGAATTGAATTTTAAAGAAAGGGTAGGATTTCAGTAGAGGAAGAAGAAGGGAAAAACATTCCAGGCACACAGTTTAGCCTAAGCAAAGCAACAAAGATGGAAGAATATGGGGTAGGGTACAGTAGTCCAATTTACCTGGACACTGTTTGGAGGGGAGCACTATAAGGAAAGGCTGGAAAGGTACGGTAACATCTACTTGTCGAGGGCCTTGAATGAGGTTAAAAAAGAAAAGAGACTAAACTTTATTTTGAAAGCATAAGGGAAACACCAAAATTTTTGAGCAAGAATGAGATAACTGTACAAGAAAGATAAGTCAGAAACTTAGATGAAGAATAGGTTGAAATAGGAAGCATACTGGTGGAGGAGAAAATCTAGCTGGAGACAATTCCAATAGTTGAGACAGATAATAACGTAGACCTGTACACTATGACAGTCTGAAACATAAAGGTTTCAAAAACTGGAGTTTGGTCATTGTAAGAAATAATAAATTCGTAAGGCTAAGCAGGTTGAGGGGGAAGATAAATAATTTGAATGATTACAGTACTACTGGCACACTGGAATAGATATATGCTCTAAGCAGATGGAAATGCAGGTGTGTGGTGGGGGAAAGATTGGGGAGTCTTTTGAAAGTAACTGATAGCAGAAGCCATAATAATCTATGAAACTGCCAAGCAAAGATGCCAGAGACTGACAGAGAGAAGAAACAGAGGGGGTAAGAAGAAAAGCCAAGGAGAATATGCTATATCTGAATCATGGAAGAAGAGAAACTAGAAGAAAGTAATGGTCAACAGGTCAACAATATGAAATGCTGCAGAGGTGAAGGGTGATGAGGAAGGAAAAAAGGCTGTTAGACTGGCCAACCAACAGGTCATTGGTGACCTGTGAGAAAGCAGTTTCAATAGAATATCTCAGGTGAGGCAAAGATACAGTTTGGAAGCCAGAATGTAAAAGGCTTAGAATCACAGGATCATAGAATTAAAATTAACAGGGAATTAAAGCTAACAGGGCCCTTACAAGTCATGTCATTTTTCAGATGAGAAACTGAGGCCCAGGGAAGTTAAATAACTTATGCAGTCACAGAAGAGAGATTGGGTGAGAAGTGAGGTATAGATAAAAAATTTTTGAAGTTTGGTAGTGGAGAGGAGAAAGACAGGATTTTACCTGGGTGGCATATAAAGGTTAAGGGGAGGATTTGGAGAGTTTACAGAAACCTGAACATACTTGTAGGGAAATGAAAAAGAGCCAGTATAGAGGGAAAGGTGAAGATACCTAAAATGAAAGAAACAATTCCTAGAACAAAGTGGTCCTGGAGGAAGGGTGAAGAAAATAGGACTAAGGAAAGGGGCAGTGGATAGAGGACTGGCCCTGGATTCAGAAGGACCTGAGTTCAAATCTGGCCTCAGACACATAACACTTACTAGCTGTGTGAGCCTGGACAAGTCATTTAACCCCACTGCCTAACCAAAAAAAAAAAAATAGGACTAAGGTACCAGAGTAGCAGTGAGCTTTAATGAGGAATATGTATACCTCTTCCCTCTATCATCAGAAGGAAATGAGGGGTTGCAGAAGATACTGTGATTTATAGGAAACTGAGAAAGTCTAGGCAAGTGTCCTCTGTGGTCTCATGGAAGTAGAATTCTATATCATCTCTAAGTGTGGGGTTGAGAGTATGGAGAGGAGAGAGGAAAAGATTGAGAACAGTCATTGTGAGCAATGAGAATGGCAAGTAAACAAGAGTGGAAGAATTGATGAACAGGGTTAAGCCGAGGTTAGCCACTATAAATTTATGATACATAAATCTTTTAACTTCAAATTAAACATTACCATTTAAGAAGCATCCTCTAAGAACTTACCATTGTTCAAAGATTTGAAATTTCCTATAAACTTCACAAATTCATAGGTAGGTGGTTCTTTTGGATCTATTGTTCCTCGGAGCATATGGCAACAGAATTCAAGCTGATTTTTTGCTGAGAAGCAGAAAAGATATTACTAATTAAAATATTTTTTTAAACTTTAACTTGGCCGTCCTACTCCCTTCTAGCTACCATGTAATCTCTCTTCTTCATTTTGATGCCCAAATTCCTTGAACTTGTCCCTTCCTGTGACTTTCACTTCTTTTTTAATAGTATTTTTTAAATTATTGTAATGACAATTTTTAACATTCATTTTTTACACAATAACTTTTTTACAACTTTAAAAGGAATAGCAAGTTGTATATAACAGATTTGTAGTTTCAAGTACAATCATCTTTTTTATCATACTATGTTAGGAAATGTTTGTTTTATTCCATGAATTAAAAATAAATAAAAATCTGAAATAAATATTTTGAAAATCATATTTCAAGATAATTGGCTTTCTTTATAATGCAATGTAATTAATTTCATGAATTTAACCGTATTATTCTGAGGAATCAGTAGACCTCCTCAGACTGTCATGGGTCATGATACAAAACAGATGAAGAACTCCTGCCTGTGACAAGTATCCCAAAGTTATTACAAAACTTCCAAGATTCAGTGGTTCTTCTGTTCATCACATTCTTAGACCCTCCAACCACAGGTCAGCATTCTCCTTTACCTATGTGAATTTTTCAATTCTGGGTTCTCTCATTGGTAGGCAATGTGGCATCGTAGGTAGATAGCTACCCTCAAACACCTGGTTTAACATTCATTTTTACAAAATTTTGAGTTCCAAATTTTCCTCCTCCTACCTCTCCTTCCCTCTTCCTAAAATAGTAAGCAATTTGATATAGGTTATATATAGATATGCAATTATGTAAAACATATTTCCATATTAGTCACAGTTGTGAAAGAAGAAACAGACTAAAAGGAAAAAATCCACAAAAAAAATTAAGTAAAAATAGTATGCTTCAATCTGGATCAGAGTCCATCATTTCTTCTCTGAATGTGGATAGCATTTTCCATCACAAGTACTCTGCAATTGTCTTGGATCATTATATTGCTGAGAAGAGGTAAATCATTCATAGTTGATCATCACACAATGCTGCTGTTACTGTATATAATGTTCTGGTTCTGCTCATTTCACTTTGCATCAGTTCACAGAAGTCTTTCCAGGTTTTTCTGAAATTTGCCTGCTCATCATTTCTTATTGCACAGTAGCTCCATTACATTCATATACCACAGCGTGTTCAGTCATTCCCCAATTGATGCATAATCCCTCAATTTCCAATTTGTTGCCACCACAAAAAAAGCAGCTATAAATATTTTTGTGCATTCTTTTTTATGATCTCTTTGGGATAGAGCCCTAGTAGTTATTACCTTCACTTCTTACCCTTCCATTCTTAACCCTATGTAGTATGATTTCCACATTCATCACTGCTCTCTTAAATGCTACCAGTGACTTCCTTCTTGTCACTTTATATTAGAAATTAGAAAGCAGACAATTTGTTTCAATAATATATAAGAAATACCAAATTATCTATGTTACAAAGGTGAAAAAGTACAGACAAAAGTCACTTATAGAAATATTAAATTTATCTGATTTATCAAGTAAAAAAACAATTACTATCCATTACAAACCCAGTACTTACATTTTAGATACTCTGGTGTTAATGAATCACTTTCCAGCAGATGAGTTGACAATATTTTATAAACCTCTGAATGTTCCCCTTCTGGGATAAAATTAAATATACTTTGATCCACAAGATCAGACTAAAAAAAGGGGGATTTAAAACAATTATAATGCATTCAAGTATATTTTTATATGTCACATAATTTATTAAATAACAAAGAAAAACATAATTTTACTATGTCATTTATGAGTTTCCACACAACTTGACCACCTGACACACAGTAATAAACACTTTGTAAATGCTTATTGACTAAATGAAAAGAGGCTCTGGCTCTCCCACATCTATTCTTTCAAAAGCCTGAAATCCACATCAGACAGAATAATGATCAAAAATCCATAAGGATTATATGAATATGTAGAAATAATGAAGAGATTAAAAAACAAAACAAATATTCTGGAACAAATGACTGGAAGGAGAATAAATAGCTTAGAAGAAAAGTCCATAAACCTCATCCAAGAAACAGAATATTTGAAAATTACAACAGACTAAACAGAAATTAATGATTCCATTAGATACCAAGAGATACAGAAATAAAATCAAAGACTGAAAAATTAAGAAAATTGAGATAGCTGATAGAAAAAACAAATGACTTAGAAAACTGATCAAGAAGAGTTCATTTAAAAAAAATCACTGGACTCCTTCAAAAGTGGGATTAAAAAAAAAGTCTAAACATTGTTTCAAAAAATCAAAAATGAAAACCATCTATCTCAATGGGCTCTATCTAAACATAGAGTCTACCTGTCATCTCCTGAAGAAAATCCCAAAAGGATTAAGCCCCAGGAACATCATAACCAAAATCCAGAGATCCCAAATAAAAGAAAAAAAGTACTGTAAGTATCCAGAAAGAAGCAGTTCAAGTATTAAAGGAACCAGAGCCAGGATCACCCAAAATTTGACAGTTTCCTTATAAGAGGATATCTTGGAATATGATTTTCCAAAAGTCAGAGACAGGCTTACAGAAACAAAAAATAAATTACAAAGGTGAATATAATGGGGGGAGGAAAGGGTGGTAGAAAGGGGAGAATAGACTTTTAATAGAGAATGTATAAGTATTTCTGACAGAAAGACCATAGCAGGACCTCTGAAATTCAAGCAAAAGAATCCAGAAAAACTTAAAAAGGTCAAATTACGAGAATTGGGACTGTCCAATAATGCAGTGTTAACATTTTAATAGGGGGGGAAGAAACATGTCTCCTTTCAGACACTTATTGTCTTCAAAGGGTATTGAGGGAATAAAATTAGAAAAACAGGGGCATTCTGGTTCTGTTCTGAGGGTTTTAAGAAAAAGAGTAAAAAGAATACATTTAAGTAGAGGGAGAAAGGTGAGAGAGGTACTTGTTATTGGAGTAGCAGGAAGATTTATGGGATGAATCTCATTCTTATCTGAAACAGACAAAAGGGACTGAACACACACACACACACACACACACACACATTCAGCTTCAAGTCATAGCTACAATCCCACCGTTTAAAGAAGCCTTTCCCAATCCCCTTTAATACTAGTGCCTTCCCTCAACTAATTATCCTCAATTTATCCTGTATATATCTTATTTCTACCTAGTTGTCTGCATGTTATCTCTTCCATTAGAACGGGGGCTTCTTGAGAACAGGGACTGATTTTTTCTTTTGCCCTTTTTTTATAAGCCTGGCACTTAGCACAGTGTCTGATACATAGTAGATATTTAATGTTGCTGACTGACTGAATGACAGTCTGGTATAGAATTAAACTCAACAAGGAATGAAGTAAAGAAGCTGACAGCAAGGAATAAAACTGGGGAGAGAATAGTCACAAGTAAAACAAATTTCCTGTCCTAAAAGGAGGATTAAGGGGGGAAAAAAGAAAAGAAAAAAAGAATTGGAATTTAATCAACAACAACCATCAAATGTGAAAGGCTGGGCAAATTGTGGTGATATCAAGTACAATGGATTATTGTTCTACCATGAGAAATGATTAAAAAGTATGATTTCAGAGAATCTTGGGAAGTATTGTTAAGTCAAGTGAGTAGAACCAGGAAAACATACATAGACATATTATACATAGACAACAACATTGCAAAAAAAGCCTTAAGAATGCTGACAGATGCATAGACCAATCATGTTTCCAGAGGTCTTAGAATGAAACATGTTACCCCCAATCTGATACAGAGGTGATGTACTCCAGGTGCAGAAAGAAACATAGAGTTTTGGAAAAGGCCACTGGGTGGATTTTTTTTTTTTTGGCCTAACTATTCTTCTTTATTTTGTTTTTTTAATGGGGGCAGAGGGAAGATAGGAATGTGGAGGAGGGGAGATTACCAATATTAATGCCAAAAAAATAAAGGGCAGTTTCACGTGCAATCATCTTTTTTATTGTCCTGTGTTAAGGAAATGCTTGTTTTATTCCATAAATTTAAAAAACAATTAATTAAAAAAGGAAAGAAAGAAACGTGTAGGATTTGTTATATACTTGAAATAAGTGATATGAAATGCAGATTCATGGCTTAATATACAATCTCCTTTCACGGAAAAGCTCTTTTTTGATGCCTAAATTTAAAATAAATTTAAAGTACATTTTTTTAAAAGATTATCTTTGTCAACTTTGATAACAGGATTCTACTAATAATCCATTCAACTCAGTGAGGGTCCTTTTCATCAGAATACAGCTCACAAGAATTTTAATTTTCCTTCCCCAAACCTAGAAAGGTATTTCTAAACTGCTTTTCATTTGGAGTCATTTTTGATGTAACAGCAATTTTTAAAAATCTGCTGTTGATTTAAGATATAAGTACAGAATTCTATTTACAAGCAAATATATCTACTCCACATGTGTATGCATGTACATATGCATGTATGTATATATGCATAATAATAACTTAACTCCTACATAGTATCTTCTATCTAAACCCAAAGGACTAAAATAATATTAAATGTCTCCAAGAAATAACTATTAAAACTAACACAACCATATCTAGAATAATCTATGAGTGAAATTTTGAATGAAACCTCAATTAACGTCTTCAGTTAGTATATTTACAAGCCTGTAATTTTATGTAATTTATGTACACTCCCAATCCCACCTCTAACCTCACACAAAAAAAGAAAAAACAATACAACTTAAAATCAAGATCTTTAATAAAAATGTTGTTATTACTGTGACTTTTGAAAAGTATGGGAAAAATTGGTATTTTGTTAGGTTGAATCCAACACACTTTTCCCTCTTGGTTTACCTTCCATCTACTCTCTGTGTGTCTTGTAGGTATCTATTTATGCATGTCTTCCTCATTATAAAAGATCCTTGGGAGCTTTTGCCTTTCTTTGTATCCCCAGTGCTTAGCATAGTGCCTGGTACATTGTAAGCACTTAACAGATGCTTATTGATTGACTGCTAAAGCTAGGTTGATTAGCTAAATCTGTGGTCAAGGGCTCTATGTCCATCATGAACCAAAACCTCTGAAGAAGAAAAAATTCATGGTAATATAAACTACTACTACAGCCGTCCTCAGGAAAAACGACTTGCTCTAGGCATCACCTTTCCTGCCCTTTAGTTGGCAGCTATCCCATATCTCAATTTCACGAATATTCAGCCTGTCTCATTCCCGCAGGGGCTTGTTCTTAGCTAGCTATTAAGAATGAACAAAGGTATGATAAACAAATCACTGCTCAAACACTATTTTACTTATGTCATTCCCCAGTCAACAACTTCTCTCCATTTACCACAAAACATTTCAGTATATGTTTTGTGCCCCTCACTTGGCCCTTATCATCAACTACCTTGTGTTCTCTCTCTAAATCGTACCTCTTTATGTAGAGAGACAGAGAGAGATCATTCTATCTACACTGGACATTAAAATAAATTAATTGGAAGTAGAGACTATGCCTAAAATGATTCCTTGAACATTCTTAGACACAAATCAGATGTTTGCTGACTACAATATTAGGGAATAAGGAACTAAGGAAGCACTTTCCAAACCACTCTATGCAATGTCAATGGATTTCTCAGTAAGAGGAATTTGATGTTCGTAGTACTTTTCTCTCTAAAATATTAAATTAGAAGTAAAGACAAAACCTGTGATTTTTATTGGTATAAGGAACTTCCAAGTGAGGAAATTCCCTCTATCAATGCAGCCTGTCATTGTCTCTGTACTTTATTTGAGTTGCTTAGAGTACTGAGAAGCTGTGACTTGCCCAGAGTCACACAATCAGTAAGTGTCAGACACAGAACTGACATTTCTACCTTGCTTCAAGGCTAGCTCTCTAGCCATCCACCATGGCACACTGCTGATGTAATAAAAAAAAAATTATGTAGCAAATTTTCAAAATAAAAGGAGGAAAAAAAATTAAAAAAAACAAAAGGGCAAGTTTTCCTTATTGCTTCAACGAATCCCAGTGGGTAACTTTTATGGGTCTGCCAATATATTTTAGGCCTAAAAATGTACCATGGCCAAATTAGTTTAGGACTTGTTGAGTTGGGTGTTATCGCTCCCAAAACCAGCTGCACGTCTAATAAAGGGCTCCTGACTCCTGATGACTGATAAGCCTGCAAGACATAGAGATTAATTTATGATACTGGAATTTCAGTTACCTCGACAAACCAATGCATTTACTCATAAGACTGGCCCTAACTACAGGATACAAGACAGCAGCGCAGAAAGGCAGAAATGCCAGACGTATGTGGGAGGCAGTAACAGAAGCACTAGACTTAGAGTCAGAGATCCTGAGCTAGAATCTTGGCTTTACGACTTAATTGCCTGTTTACCCTTAGACAAGTTAATTAATCTCTCAACCTAAATTTCCTAATCCAAAAATGAGGGGGTTAAACTAAATAACTCTCCAATCAAGTTAGAAATCCTATAGACCCAGGGCCTAGAAAATGACAGTCACTGAAATGCTTTGAAGCAAACAATCATTTCCCCTTCATTCTCTCAGCAGGACCTTTGTGTCTGCACTCTGAATGATCACCATAAGATGGCAAAATTTTCCTGGGTGGCTAAAACCTACATTCTCTTCACAAGCATAAACTGAAGTTCTAGGGATTTGCTTTTTCTAGTCAAAATAAACTAGTTAAAAATACCAGCATATAGATAACCAGGAAAAAGATAT